CCCTGTCAGGACGTGGGCGGAGCAGCCAGCAGACCCTGCCTGTGGCGCTGAGGACCCTCCCCAGACGGAAGCCACGGCTGCCTGGCCTGTCCTGCCTCCTGCACCCAGGCCCTGCAGACAGTGGTCTGCGGAGCGGCCTGCTGTCCCAAGCCAGGCCCGCGGCTGCCGGCCATGCTCTGGGGCTGCACGTGCTCCGGAGTAAGAGTGTGCCCTCCCCCCCCCCCCGCCCCAGGCCAGCCAGGCCCCGGGCAGGGCAGGGTGTGGGCGGCTCCGCCTGGCGGAAGCAGCGAGGGCTGTGAGCGCCCGCGGCATCTAGGGCCGCTGGGGCTCGAATTTCGCAGGATTTAGCTTGAAGGCTGCGGGGCGTTGCTGGCCCCGACCCCGAGCCTCGGGGTCCCCCAGCCGGATGGCCCCCCAGTCCTGCAGCCCTGAGCCCCCGTGCCCCCCACCCCGTGCACGGCATGGCCTCCCTCGCCGCAGCCCCATGGCCCAGTGCTGGGCCGTAGCCAGGGCCCTGGGAGCGGCGGGTTCCGGAGCTGGCGCGTGGCCCCAGATGGCTCCGTGGCCGGGGGCCTGAGGGCGCAGACTGTGACAGCGGCCGGCCGGGGCGAGGAGCAGAGGCACAGGGGGACCTGGGTTCTCCTGACGGGCCGCGGCCCCGGAAGAGTCACACGGAGCTGCTGGCGCGCCGCTCCAGGGCGCTGCCCTTCCCCCGGGAGCCCAGCCGCCTGTTCTCAGCCCCTTGCGGGCCTGGCCCGGGGCTGGGGGCCTGGCCCGGGGCGGGTGCACGTGGACAGGCTGAAGCCTGGCAACGGTGGGCAGGCGCGCCCACAGTCCTGTCCCCGCCAGCAGCCTGGGCCCTGCGTGGGTGCGTCCTCTGCGTTTGGCTTTAAGCTTGTCGCCCTTTCTGGGAGTGGACAGGACCTGTGTTCCCTCTTCCGTCGACACCCAGGGGCGCAGCTGGAGAAGCCTGACCCGAGGGCCCCCAGGCCGCTGACGGGAAGGCCCGGGGGAGCCCGCGGTCAGAGTGGAGTGGCGCTGCCAGCCGGGCCTTCCTCCCCCCTCCCCACAGACGGGACACTGGGAGGACAGCGGGTTTGAACCAGGCCGAGGGCTCACCCGTCCCCGGCACCGGCGCAGAGATGCCGCTGACGGCCCCTCAGCCTGGCCGGGCCCAGGGCCGGCACACAGCAGGATGGGGGGCTGCGGCGCCGCGTGCGCAGCCGCAGCCGGCTTCGCGAGAAGGGTGTGGGTGCCACGCTAGCCCAGCAGGGCCAGGACCCTTCCTGAGGTGGCTGGGGTCGCATCAGGGCCATCAGTACCCAGAGTCCCCAGGACCGTGGGGTCCAGGCCCTCAGTCCCCCAAGGGCCATCGGGTGGGAACGGGGGCTGGGCACTGGCTGAGACCCCGGGCTCTTCTGGGGGGAAGGGGCAGACAGGCGCCGCCGGCCACGGGGAGGGCCTGGGCGGCCTCACGGGACGCGGCGCCCGGCCTTGCCCACGGGCTGTCACCCCGGCCAGCGTCCAGGGTCGGCCGCACGCTGGGCCCCAGCCCTGCCTGCCCGGTGGCTCCCGCCACCCGAGACCCCGAGACGCCCCTGGAACCCCCACCCGGCCAGCGGCTCCAGCGCGGGGTCCTCCTCCAGGGCTCCCGGGCCACCCCTCCCACAGCCTTTGTGCCTGTGTGACCCCGGGGGCACCGAGTGTGGGAACCGGGCTGGGGGCCGCGTGGCACAAAGGCCGGGGAGGGGTGGGGTCAGCGCCATGAGCCTCTTCCTGCCTGTCTCTGCGTCTGGGGTTGGTCGCTGGGAGTGAGGCAGGTCTCGGGGCCCAGGAAGAGGCTGGGACCTGGCACCCCGGCGGCCCCAGGCCCGGGCTCTGGGTGTGGGCAGCGGGGGCGGCGGCCCCAGGGTCCCCCGCGCCTGCCCCGTTGGGGTGCCTGTTTCCAAGGGCCACTCCCTGTGTCCCGCTCAGGCCCCGGCCACTCCCCACCACGCACAGGGGACCGGAGGGACAGCAGAAATAGACGCTTCGCTGGGCCATGTCAGAGGTTCGTGCGTAGGCTTTTTTTTTTAAACTCAAATTTCTTTGATAAAATATTTTCCCATGGTGGACGGTACTGGGAAAGTCCTCTTGGCAGCCGCTCCTGACGGACCGGCCCAGGCTCAGGCCACCGCTCAGGGCCCCAGCCCCGCCCTCCAGGAGGAGCCCACTGCCCTCGGCCCGGGGCCTGGGGCGGCCGGCGGGCTCCAGGGCTCTCTGTCCTCAGAGCCGGCGCCCCGGGACTCGGGTCCCAGTGCCCAGGGCGCCGGCCGGCCGCCGCAGCGGCGCTGCTCGGGGTCGGGCTGGGCACAAAGGAGGCAGGGCCGCGGACCCCGGCCCTCTCCCACCCACTCCCTTCCTTGGTGCCCCCGATGCGCCGGCGCCGAGAGCGGCCGTGCTGGCTCTGGGAACGCTCGTGTGCCGAGTGGGTTTTCCCTCTGGGAACGGCACCAAAATAGCAGAAGAAGGAAAAGAAGTGGAAACTCAGCCTGGCCGGGGCCGGGGGGAGGGGGGCGCCTCTCCAGGGAGGCGGCGGCTCCGGCCAGGCCGGGGCAGCGGCCCCGAGCCAGCAGCACCCAGCGCGGCCGCGGGCCGCAGGGCAGGGCCCTCTGTGGGTCAGTCTGAGGGCGCCGCTCGCTGCCGGCCAGCGCCCCCTGATGTCCGGACGGGCTCATGAGCTGGGGTCGGCTGCCCGTGGGGCCAGCCTGGCTGCTGTGCCGAGCCCGGGCGGCGCCTCTTCTGGGCTTGTCGCTGTCCACCTGGCAGCGGCCTCCGGCCTCCCCCCGGCCCCGGGAGCAGCAGCCCCCATGCTGGGCCGGGAGAGGGGCGGCTGTGCCAGCGGCTGCTGGGGCTGAGCTGGGGTCCGCCAGGACGCCGCACCGAGGGGCTCGGGGAGCGGGGCGGGGGGTGGGGGCGGGGGGCGGGGCCGGAGGCCGGCAGGGACTCGGTGCCGGGGGGCTGCCCCGCCCCTGGAGACGGGGACCCAGCCTCTGGCCGAAGCGCCAAGGCCACCAGGTGGCTGACAGGACACACACGAGTGGGTCCTCCCCTGGTGCCCAGTTGCCTCCGCGGTCACTGACCCAGGTTCAAACGTAGGCACCCTGGTCTTTCAGACCCTTCTCTGCTCAACTGGCCCCATTCACCTCGGCCTTTCAGGGGGCCTCGTGAGGTACATGTCCGAATCCCCCCCCAAAACACCTGCTTCCCCCCGGGAGGCTCCTGCCCTGGGCGCACAGAGCCTGCTTTCCCCCAGAGCGGAGTCCAGCCTGCGGCTGTGAGTCTTGGTGGCTCCCCAGGCCCTGGGGTCCCCACTCCCTGACAAAGGCCCGCTGGGGGCGCCTTGCGGCCTCGCACCACGCGCCCGGCCCCTTTGGCACCTGCCGTGGCCAGCCCCTCCCTGGGGCCCCACGCACCGGCCTCTGCCTGCGACCCACGCCATCCCTGCCGCTGGCGTCCTTCGGTGCTGGCCGAGGGGGGGCAGGGGCGGCACAGGGGGGAGTCGAGCCGAGGACCCCGCCTCTGTCCACCTCACCTGCTGCCCACAAGCCGGGGGCCGGGCAGTGAGCGGGTCCTGGGGCAGCCGGGCCCCTCCCCAGGCCCCGACCCGGCCCCGTCCCTCCTGGGCCGCGGTCTCAGCCTGAGGCCTGGGAACCTCAGCGTCCTGGCTGTGCTCCACCACCGCGTTCTGCGCCCCGGCCCCCACCCGCCGCTCAGGCGCAAGCCGCCCCCCGCTGCCAGGCCGGCCCTGCGGTCCCACCAGGCACCGGCCCTCCCCTCGGCCACGCGCAGGCCCCTCAGGGCGCGGTGCTGCCTCCCAGCCTGGGGGCCGGCCCGCGCCACCCCCCCAGTGCCGTTGCGCTGCCCACGTCCCGCTCGGCGGGTCCCCGTGGGCCCAGCCCGGCCTCGGCGGGCTGAGGGGCTGACGCAGAGCCGGCTGCTCCCAGCACGTGGTTTCCCAGGTCACTGGCGCGGACTTCCTCCCAGCTCCCCCGCTTCCTGTTTTCTCAAGAAAATGCACCAGCGGAGGCTCTGAAAAGCTCATTAAAGTGCCCCCCTGCTTCCCGGACGTCCTGGGGTCTTTACACCGCTTGCGGCTCGAGGACAAAGAGGCAGCAGACACAGTTCCCGTCCTGCCCGAGCTCAGCCCGGAGGCAGGGCCCCGAGCGCGCTTCCCGCTGCCAGAGGCCGCGCGGTCCCTGCCAGGCCGGCCTGGACACGGGCTTCCCTCCGGCCTTCCTCCCTCGCGCTCCGCCAGGCGCCTGCAGGGGTGCCAGGTGGGCCGGCCGCGCGGACCCCTCCTGGCCGTGGCCCAAATTCCGGAATGTTCCGGGCGGAGCTGCGGCCCAGCCTGCGTCGCCTCCCCCGTAGCCAGACAGCCCAGGGCCCCGAGAGCTCAGACAGACACCCGGCCAGCAGGAGGGAGGGCGGCGGCCCCGCCCTGGGGAGAGCCAGCCTCCGCCCCCCGCAGGCCGTGACCCCCATGGGGGGTTTCCTCACCCGGGCCCCTCAGGGCGTCAGGGGAGACCCCGTGGCCGCCTGCGCTGTGGCCGTCGCCCTCGGCAAAGGGAACGTCACCCCCGCAGCCGGACAGGCCTCAGGGGCTTCCCTTATGCCAGCCAGAGCCCCTTGGGGGCAGGACCCCCCCGAGGCCTAAAGGGTGCCCTCCGAGCTGCGCCCTCAGCTGCAGCCTCCACCCCCGCCTTCGCCCTTCCTGGCCGGCGGCTGCGGCGGCCCCGGGCTCGGCCCCGTGCACGTGGCGTGTCGGGGAGCTGGGGACACGAGGAGAAAGCCCCACTGGGGCAGCGGCTGCTGCTCGGACGGGCAGAAAGGCCGAGGCACACGGCTGCTGCCGTCCAGCCACCCACCGGACGCACTGAGTTGCCTGCCACCGAGGCGGCCGCCTGGCAGCCCTGGGCCCCCCCACCGGCCCGAGACAGGCCTGCGGCGCGGGGACCCACCTGGCAGAGGCTGAGGGTGTCCGCGCGGGTGACGTGCACGTTGAAGTGCCCGAGCACAGCCTTCACCTGCTGCTGGGCCTTGAGGGAGCAGCCCACCCAGAGGCAACACCGGCGCCAACCCGGAGCTGGGCCTGGAGCCGCGGAGAGAGGCGGGCACTGAACCCCGGCCGCCCCGCCTCCTGCAGCCCTGGGCCCAAGAGCCCCCCGGCCCACCCAGGGGGCCCGCGCTGCCGGGGAGCCCTGCTGCCGTCGGCTGCACGCAGAGCCCGAGCTGGGGGTGGGCGCAGGCGGGGCCCTCGCCTCCTCGTACGGCAGCCCCGCGGTCAGGCCTATCCTCCCCTCCCGCCTGGCGACCTGTGCGAGAGGCGAGGCCGACCGGTGAGGGGCCTTGTGGGGCAGGGGCGCTTCGTCCGCCGAGTCACCTCCGCCGGGGACCCCAGCAGCCCTCAGGGTCCCGCGGCCGGAGCCCTGGGCATGGCCTCGCGTTATAGATTTGGTCTTAGAATCGTGCTAACGTTTTACATAATTGCAAAGTTAAATTTAAAAACAATCTCTAAAAATCCAAAGGAGAGGAATGACCCGGAAAGCGAGACGTGTCCCAGCGACGCGGGGCACACGGACCCCGTCTCCCGGACGCCGCCCCGGAGGCCAAGGCGAGAGCAGCGAGGCGGCCGCTGGGAGGTGGCCGAGCGCGAGCGGTGGCGCGAGGCAGGCGGGCGCCGCCGGGGCCGTGAGCGCGAGGCCGAGAGGAGGCGGCGCGGCCGGCAAGGAGGAGGCTCTGCAGCAAGCCCCAGGCCTGGACACAAAGCTTCGGCACACATTTCTGACGCGTATTTTACGCACACACGCCTCTTGTCACTGCGCGCGGCCAGGCCTGGGAGCAAGACCCAGCTCTGCAGCGGGGGCGCCCCGCGCCCAGGCGGCTTTCTCACGCAGTGTCCTGCTGAAGGCAGCCCGGGCTCTTTGGAGGAACGGCCACCTCCAGGTCTGAGGCAGGAGGCGCACGCGCGGAAGCAGGGGCGTCCTATCACGCAGAGTGCGGAGAAGCTACCCATCTCCCGGCGTCGCGTCCGAAGGACTCAAGATCCCACGGACCTCCCACGGGCCGCGCGGGGCACAGCGGCCATCGACGAGGTGACAGAAACGCCCGCCGCGTGGTGGCGGTATGCCTGGCACGGCCCCTTCAAACTCACTGGCAGGCTTTGCGGCGGCGAGGGGCCACCTCCAGAGCGTAGGAGCTGAACCATCAAACTCTCTCAGGGAAACCGGGGGAAATGTCACGACATTGCATCTGGCCGTGGTTTCTTAGATACGGCACCAAAAGCCAAGGCAGCAAAATTAAAAATAGTTAAGCTGAACTTTGTGAAAACTGACTTTTGTATTGAGTACATCGTCGTAGGACGCTCTCACGAAAGTAGAAACGTAACCACAGGATGGGCCAAAATATTCGCAAATCATAGATGTTATTGGCGATTAATGTCCACGATATTTAAAGAACTACAATCTAACAACAAGGAAAATAACCCAATTAGAAAATAGACAAAACTCTTGAACAGACATTCCCCCCGAAGACACAAATGGCCCGCAAGCACAGGAAGAGGCTCAGCGTCATTGGTCATCAGGAAAACGCAAATCCCAACCGCCGTGTGAATCGACTCACACCCACTGTGATCGCTTTTATTTAACCTAAAAAACAAAGTAGAAAAGGAGCCCTGGCTGGTGTGGCTCAGTGGACTGTGCGCCGGCCTGCGAACCGGAGGGCGGCCGGTGCGACCCCACCTGGGGGCACGGGCCTGGGGTGCGGGCTGGGCCCCCGCTGGCGGGGGGCGCGGTGTGAGAGGCGGCCGCACACAGGTGTTTCTCTCCCTCTCTTTCTCCTCCTCTCTATACAAATAAAATCTTTTTTTTTTTAAAAGAAAAACCACATCTTGTTAAAATGTGGGAAACAGTAACAGGTGAGCCGGGACGCGGTGAGAAAGCGGAACTGAGCCCGGGCCGCTGCGGCAGCTCTAGCTCCAGACGCTGTGCACGCGAACATACGTGTTCCCATCCCTAACCCTGGAACGACTAGAAATCGATGTGTGACTTTCAGACACGGTGGGAAAGCTGAAGAACACAGGGAAAGGGGAACCAAACGGAACAAGGAGAGCAAGCGGGAGCGCGGGTCAGGGCGGCCCCTCGGACGCCGGGAGGCGCCCGTGGCCGCAGAGGGTGCGAACGGGCTAAGCTGGCCCATCGGGAGGCCGAGACGGTCCCACGGGTCAGCCGGCAGCCGTTGATAAGAGATACGCCGAAGGTGTAAGATCGAAGGAAGGTTGAAGAGGGCGAGAAAATGACATACAAGCACTCATCAGGGCATGCTGGGCAAACGTTAGTTTCCGTGGACTTTTTTAAAAAAAGAGTTCATTTATTTATTTTTAGAGAGAGGCGAAGAAAGGGAGAGAAACACCCCTGTGTGGTTGCCTCTCGCACACCCCCCACTGGGGACCTGGCCCGCAACCCGGGCCTGCGCCCCGACTGGGAAGTGAACCGGCAACCCTGTGGTTTGCAGGCCGGCGCTCCGTCCGCTGGGCCCGCCAGCGGGGCCGAGCGGGCTTTACGGCAAAGTCTTTTACTAGCGCCGGAGAGGTTCCCGTCACGATCGTACAAGATTTCACTCAACAGGAAGACATAAGAATTCTAAACATCGTGTGCTTTTGCACGTAGTCGCGTAAGTTTAAAACAGATAAAGCAAATACTGACAGAACCACAAAAAAAGGGGTGAACCCATTGTCCCAGGCTCCCGTGGCCTTTGAGCACGTCGGGCAGGAGAGCGGTCGAAGGGGACATGGGTGGTCCGAGCCACATGCTCCGTACGCTCGGTCTATAGCATGTGAGCGAGTGTTCGTGCGTGTAAGCGTGTGTGAGAGGGAGGCATGAACGTGACTGGAGGGCACGCAGCCTCCTGAGGTCCGCGTGCAGCGCGTGCTGGGAGGGCCGCGCCCCTTGGCTGGGAAGCCAGCCTCCGCCGGCATCCACGCAGACCGAGCGCCGCGACCGCAGTTCGCGCAGGCTGGAAATCCATTTTAGCAAGACAACTAAAAAGCTCCCACGCTCCAAGCGTTCTGAAATTCAAAAACCTCCTTCAAACAAGTAAGTATAACAGACACTAAAACAGTATCAGACCTAAAAAAAAAATTAAAAAAATGAAAATACGCGTCAGAACAAAGTGGATGGAATGCAGCGAACACAGTACTTGAAGCAGAATTTATGGTCCTAAATGTTTACATCGTAAAATTTAAAAGGCTGAGAATTAAAGAGTTGAGCACTCCACTTGGAAATAACCCCAAAAAAGCAAAGGAAGGAAACTATAAAGATAAGAACAAAAATTAATGAGATAGAGACCAAAAACGCGACGGAGAGGCCCGGCCCCACGGCACCCCCGACGTGGGCGACGCAGCCCCGGCGCGGTGACCGTCCCGCCTGGCGCATCCCAGAAGGGGGCGCGGAGGCCACGGTGCCTGGGGAGACGCGGCCCACGGAGGTGGCCCAGGACATCCCGTGGAAGCACCCGGCCCAGGACGCCTTGCGGGAGGTGGGCCAGCATGGTGCAGGGGGCAGCCCACATGTCACTCGGAGTTACAGGAAACGGAAGAGAGCAGAAGCCGCCAGCTTGTCTCCGAGGCTGGGACAGGAGGTGATGGGACAGAGACGTTCCACCCGGGACATGCTCCTGGGGTGGCTCTGAGGGACCGCCCCCCAGGCGGCAACGCAAGAGCGGCCAGTGCGTTCCAAAGGCCGCGTCGGGAGCAGGCCCCAGCGCGCGGCGGGGGCAGAGGGTCCCTCCATGGCCCCGCCCTCAGCAGCTGCGGAGCAGCGCGGGTGGGAGTCGCCTTTTCTCCCAGTGGGAATGTGCCACCCGCCTGGGGTCGTGAGACGTCCCAGCCCGCGGCGGTGGGGACCCGCCGGACTCCGGGTGGACACATTCCCCCCAAGTCAGAAACGACGGCAGTCGGCTGCGCTCGCTACCCGTGGGCAGCCCTGCCCCTGGGGTCCCGCCCGGCGCAGGGCGCGAGGCGGAGGAACGGAAGCCACACGTGCTGGACAGGAAGGACGGACACTGCCATCGTCTGTGGGGCAAGACAGCCCCGCAGAACCCACGGCCAGTCCCGCGGGACTCGGGAGACTGTCGCGGGCTTTCCGGAGAGGAGGCCGATTCGGAGGCAGCGAGGAGCTGTGGCAGGGACGCACCGTGAGCCCCACCGCCGCGGCGGCGGGTGCGGTCTGTCATGGCGTCCACCGGCGACGCTGCCGCGGAGGTCATCCCGGGGGTCGCACTGGGACCCCTGCCTGGCGTGGACCCCGCTGCGGACCCCCAGAGGGACCGCTGGGGTCCGAACGCGCCGCCCAGCTGGGGGGGCCCGGGGAGGGGTTTCCGTCTGCCAGGGCCGCCGACCAGCCGGGCTGGGTCGATGTTAGACGATTTTCTAAATTGACCAGAGGTGGCCACGCAACCTGCGAAGGCAGCGAGGGCCGCCGCTCCGGGGCCCTGCTGGGCGAGTCCCAGCGTGGGTGAGGGGTGCCTCAATAAACCTGTAAAAAAGACATTCGCCACCCACGTTCCAGCCCCTGGGTTCGGACACAGCCGCTCGGGCCCAGGGCTGGCCGCCGCGGCCCGGTGCCTCCGCGGCCGTGCGGACAAGGCCCCCCGGCGCCCACGGGCCCGGCGCCCGACGAGACAGCAAGGCCTCGCCCACGCCCGGACTCCACGCCCTGTGTCTCTCCCGCCCAGCAGGGGTCTCGGGACTGTTCGGTGGGACACGCGCGTGCAAAACAGCCGTACGCTTGGTCCCACGTGTATCTGACGGCGACGCCCACCGCGGGCCTGGCGAGGCTGTGGTCGCTGGGGCCACGTGGCGGGGTCACGGGAGCTGCCCCCGCGCCCCAGGCGTCCACCCCGGCTTCTCAGGGACCCAAGGGCCTCTGGGTGCACAGCGTGTGCAGGTGCCAACAGACATGCAGGGGACAGGACCTCCCAGGACCTGCCTGTGTCACAGGAGCCGTGAGGCCTCCAGCCGGCGGAGCCCGTGGTCCGGACCCCCCCGGGACCCCGTGGGGTGGGCGTCCCCACGGCAGCCGCCGCAGCACCACACACACAGCCCCGCTCCCCACAGAGCCCGGCGGCCAGGACAGGGGCCGCGCGGCCGTGCAGACGCACAGAGCCCCACCCACTCACCTCGGCCTCGGGGCGGGGGTCCCCACGGCGCCCAGCATGAGCACATCTGCGCCGAGGCGGCGGAGCTGGCGCGCCGGCCCCTGCCGCATGTGGTCGCACAGCACGCGGGAGGCCCGGGCTGGGACCGCGGGGGCTGCAGGCTCCTGCAGCACAGCCCCGCTCAGCAGCCCGCACCCGCGGACCCCTGGATGCGGTGGGGAGCGGGCGCCCCTGCCGGGCTTGTGGTTGCTTTTTTCCCCAAAACTTCATAAAGAGCATCATGAGCAATATGTACTCAATGCAGAAAACAGATAAAATGATGCGGAACCACCTACATGGGACCCCAGAAGGAGCTCGCTCATTTCTTGGGGGTCCCGCACGCCCTGAAGCGGTGCTCAGGGTTCCGGGGCCCGAAGGCACTGCCGGGTGCTGCCCTGGGCCTCGGGGGCGGGGCACGCCAGGCCAGGTGTCAGGAGGGGCGGGGCGAGGTGGGGCGGGCAGCTGGCCCAGGGCGGCTGCGGACGGAGCCCCGGGGCTGTGAGCGGCCCACCTGCTGGAGCTCCTCCTCGTGCCGGGACAGGTCCTCCCACAAGGCCAGCAAGCGGACATCCTCCCTGGCGATGGGCAGCCGGTAGCAATGGTCCTTCGTGTCCTCCGAAGGCGCCTCGGCCGTCCTTGGAGGGGCACAGCGGGCAGCTGGGGCCCCCGGGATCCCCGACCCAGCCCACCTGGCCTGACCGGACAGGGAGGCGCTCTGTCCTCCTCCCACGCAGCCCCGGCAGCCCCCGACCACAGGCCCTGGGGAGGGCGGCAGCGGCTGGACTCCACCGCGGGGGCCCTGTCTCGGCCGCTCCGCGCGCCCCGGCCTCAGAGCCCTCTGCCTGATTTCCAAACCACTGCAGACATGGCTCACGGAGCCACTTCCCGAGGGACCAGGGCCCGAGGGCGCGTCTCCTCGTTGGCCCCCAGGCCCGGCGGTGCTCACCTGTCTTGGAGCTTGAGCTGGCTCAGCTCTGTGGCTACTGCGGCCGGCAGCCGCTCCTCGGGCAGCGAGAGGTCCCGGGCACAGCAGGCGACCATGGCTGCGTCACCGTGAGAGGCCAGCAGCTGCGGCAGCTGCTCCTGTAGCTGTTTGCTAGGCCCCACCAGGCCCCAGGGACAGGGCAGGACATGGGCTGTACCGCCTGGCTTTGCGTGTGGCGGAGGCACGCAGCCTGCAGCGCCCGGGCCCAGACCTCGCCCGGGGGTCTGGTTCAGCCTTCGGCAGGAGGGTGCTGCCTGGGTCCGGAAGGCCGGTCGCGGCTCCCACGACCAAGGTGCTTGGGGCGAAGGGCCGCTCTCCCGAGCCACTGCTGCCCCTGTGCCCACGGCCAGGTGACTGCCCCTGCCCCGCCCTCTGCCGAGGCCCCTCTCCCCCGTCTGAGCCCCGCCCCACACGCCCGGTTCACGGGACCTGCCCACGGCCCTCCTCTCCGGTTCTGGGGACCAGGTCAGCCGGGCGCCTCCTCCCCCGCCCCCCGCGGGGAGGCTCCCCTGCTGCCCCGCCCTCGTGCCCCCTGGGCCCCCTCGCCCCGCCCTCAGTTGGCCATCGTGCTGGGGGTGGGGTGGGGTCACGGGACATCCCTGACCCCACAGCCAGAGAGTGGACGGAGGGGCGGCCCTCGGGCGGCCGTGACTGCGGGGCCCCCACGGGGCTCTCCTGTCCGCTGCCGCCACCGCCGCCACCGTGTCCAGCCGGCGAGGGAGAGGGGCTTCCCGCCCCCGCGTCAGCTCGGCCCAGGAACCCGCCCTGGCGGGTCCCAGACGAGGGGCCCAGTCCTGGCTGAGTCCTGGCGTCCAGGAGGCCGCAGGCCGCTGGGGCTCGGTGGGAAGGGGTGGGCGTCGGGAGGCCCTAGAGCTCCGGAGGAGGCCCTGCTGGCTGGCCTGCAGGCGGGCCCGCTCCCCCGCGGCTCTGCCTGCGCCCCCCCCTCCCCCGCCGCGGCCTCAGGCCCTCCGCTTCCCGCGGGCCGCAGGTTCCCACGTGGACGACAATATGTGGAAACCCCTCCACATTCTTCAGGATGTCCGCTGCCCTTCCGGCCGGCTCGGCCTTGGCACCCCGGGGGGACCGGCCTTCCGGGCCTTGCCCTGGGGTCCGCGTTCCTCCCTGGTGACTCACCACCCCCCAACCCCGCGGCTCCAGGGGCAGCTCAGCACTGCCCCCTGCTGGCCACAGCCTGCCCAGCCACCCCACAGGGGAGCAGAGGGTGTGCTGTCCCCCCGGGGGGCAGGTGGCCGAGGCCCCGGACTGCCCTGTGCGCTGTACCTGGGTCCCCACAGGCCCCGCCTTTCTCCGAGGACACCCCGCGCTGGCCGTGGGCCCCGGGGTCAGGGCTCGGCCCGCCGTCTGCTTGGCCGAAAGGCTGCTGGGAGGAGGCGCCCTTTCTCTGCACCTTCCTCGCCGACCTGCTGGGGCCCGCGGACCACGCGCCCGCTCTGCACCCGGGCACACGCTCTCTGGGGGCGCCCGCGCCCCTCGTGTGGGGAAGCCCACCGCAGGCCGGGTCTCCGCAGCCCAGACTCGCCCGCACGTGGTGGGCCCAGCTCCCCCGAGGCAGAGGCTTGTCTGCCCAGGGACAGCACGCCCCGCCTTGCCAGCGGCAGCCCCCCCCCGTGCCCCGTGTGGGCGCAGCCTCGCGCGGCCCCCCTGCCGCGGGCCCAGGGTCGGCCCGACGGGGGCCACGCAGCTCCACGCACCGCACGTGGCGCAGGTAGCGCGGGGCGGCCGCGTTGGGGCACAGCGCTGAAGGGAGGGCGGGCTCAGCGCCAGGCCTGCCCCCGCGGCCCGCGCCGCGCTCGCCCAACCTCAGGGCCGCCCCGAGCCCGGCAGGCCCCGCGCAGGCCCGTGGAGGGGGCCCGTGAGGAGCCCGACCGCGGGGCTCACGCGCCGCGGCCTCTGTCCACAGCCGAACAGGCCAAGCCTGAGAGGGGGCTGACGCGCCACAGAGCTCGGAAACGAAGAAACACGTTTTTAATTGGCCTGCGAGTAAAAGAAAAGATCTACAGTAGAAATTATCTTGAGCCAACCCAGAGTACAGATAACACACGTTAAACGTGGGGAATATAAATTTAAGAAGAGAGAAGACTCACAGGGTACGGCCTACAAGAGACAGGACCCAAAGAGGCAAAAGCAGGGCAACAGCAGCAAAACTCAGCCGCGGGGGCCGCGTCCGCTCAGACCTTCCGCGCAGCGAGGGACAGGCAGGGAAGCACACGGCCGCCCGCGGAGCGCGAGCCGGCGTTCGCAAACCACGGGTGAGGAGGCGGTCAGTGTCCAGCACGTACAAGGAGCTCAGAGCTCATAGCAACCCCCCAAACCGCAGCAGTGCCCCCCCGCGCACAGATCATCTGATCTGACAACGGGAGGAGGAACGGAACTGACGTTTTTCCAAAGGAGACACCCAAGTGGCCGACGGGTTCATGAGAAGGTTCGCAGCGTCACCCACTAGCAGGGAGATGCGGGCGGAGACCACGAGGCGCTGCTTCACACCCGCTAGAACGACCCCATCAAAAGACAGGGCTGAGTGTTGGGGAGCCTGGGGGGAGGCAGCACGGCGCCGACTGCCGGGGACACGGCTCGGTGCGGCCACTATGGCCAACAGCGCGGAGCAGACCTACAGCGTGACCCGGCAACCCCACGGTGGGTGCCGATTTGGAGGGAATGACATCAGGATCCTGAAGCGGTGCCTGCACCCCACATTTAGTGCAGCGCCGTTCACAGCAGTCAAGACAGAGAGACGACCCCGCGTCCGGCACGGGACACCCGGCACAGAGGGCGGGGTCTGTGTGTGCGGCGGGTACCACGCGGCCCTCCGGGAGGGCGCCGCTGCCACGGGCCGCGGCACGGACGGAACGCGGGGTGCTGCGGGAAGTGGGATCCGACGAACCCGACTCCCAGAGAAGAGGCTGGAGGTTGCGGCGGGGGCGGCGGGCCGGGGGGCCGGGGGGCCGGGGGGCCGGGGCGGGGAGGGATGGATGGAGGCGGCCGAGAGGCACGGACTGCAGTTGAAAGAGCAGCACCTTCTGAGGTCAGGAGGTGCCCGGCACCGTGACGGACGTCAGCGATACTGTGTCGCGCAGATGTTGAAGGTTTTCCCCCAAAGAAAGAGTCTGTAACTGTGGGTGACGGAAGGAGACCATCGCGCAGCACAGGCAAGGGTCGGGCCGTTGTGCTGTCCGAGGGGGACCCCATAACCTGGGAACTGGCTTACGAAGAAGTACGTGTTTGCTCTCGTGTGTTCGCACTCCAGTCCCCGCTGGGCGCCCTCTGTTTCCTGCAACACGCCCATCGAGACGCCCGCGGCTCCGTGTTCGAACGCTGGGCCTGGGTGCCTTTCAGAGCTTCGGCCATCGTTGGCTTCACCTCGGCCACGTCGGCAAAATGCTTCCCTCTGAGGACATTTTTTCACCTGGGGAAACAAAAAAGACGTCGCTTGGGGCGAGACGGAGTGAATAGGGAAGGTCCGGCACGGGGGTCAGGCTGTTTCTTTGGCCAAAAACTGCTGGACAATCAGCGCGGTGTGGGCAGGTGCACTCGCAAGTCACCCGTCACGGAAGGACACAGGTGCCGACAGAACACCCCTGCCGCCAAGCGCAGCCCTCACCGCGGCGCCCGCTGGCGTCCGACGCAGACGCGCTACCAGCGCCCGCGCCCGTGGGGGCGCCTGGGCCGCAGGGGCCCCCCTCCTGAGGGTGAGCTGTTCTGGGGGGTCCCCCTTGTAGACCTAAAATCGGTGCAATGCTACATGTCAATTACATGTCAAGAAAACTTGGGGGGAGAAAGCCAAAAGCTAGCTGTTTGGGAAAGCTAAACGTCAAGTGAGGTGGATCAGAGAAATAAAAACATAAAAAGACAAGGCCCAGACAGCCAACGTCCAGAAATATCGGCTGCCGGCAGACGTTTGAGAAACCGCAGGGGGACCTCCCAAACGACGTGGGGACCCCGCGCGGAACCGCGCGGAACCAGACAGACAAGCCCCTCCACGCGCACGCGGCCAGGGCGTGGCCACAGTCTCGTTTCCGCCACGAGGAATCCGGTTCACAGGCCTTCTGCCCAGCTTTGGAGGAGGAAGTAACAGAGACCTCAGACAGATGACCTCGGAGGAAAAGGGCACTTGCCCGTTTCTCGCTCAGAGGCCCCCCCCACCCCCCGTGCACCAGACCCGGGGGGGGGGTCCGTTGCAAGCACAGACGCAAAACCCTCCACGGAGGAGGAGCAGGCAGGCAGCCGCGCCGCACACGGAACCGGGACGCGAGGCCAGTCCAACGTGTGAGGCCAGCTCACGGGCTGCCCCTTCACAGACCTGACAGGAAAGGGCAGGCCATCTCGAGAGATGCAGAAAGCGCATGAGATGACATTCAACGTCCATTCCTGAGCACCGGTCTCCACGCGGCATTGGAGAGAATTTCCATAATCTAATTAATAAGGTGGGCCACCAAACACCATCCGGAAGACTTCACCTTGGAGGTGGCGAGGGAAAGGCTCGGGCACCCGGGGCCACCGACCGCTGGGGGGAGGGGGGGAGGCGGGGCGGGGAGGGGAGCACGCGGCGGTCGGGGGGTGCGGTGCAGGCACAGCCCTGGTGGCCCTCGCAGAGGCCCGACCTCCCAGGAGCCGCCCCGGGGGCTGCCGGGGCTCACGGCCCGTGTCCTGCTCTGTGACCAGGTCCTGGGCGGCTGCCGAGGGGGCCGGCAGGGGTTGGGAAGGGGGCGCCAGGGTCCTTTGTCCTGGGCGGCACTGGCCCCAGTGCCCTCGAGCCACAGGGCGGCGCCTCACTCATCGGGGTCCAGGCCGAGGTGCTCCCGCAGGCGCAGGACCTGCCGCGCCAGCGCTCGGGGGACGGGGGGTGGGGGTCGGGGGACAGCGTCCCCAGCTTCCCGGAGGCCACCTGCGGAGAGAGACACGGCTCCGGCCCAGCCCCGCTTCCTTTCTAGGCGAGCACCTTCAAGGTTTCCGTCTCCACCAAACACACGGTTGTTGTTTTAAAATATTTTATTTATTGAAGTATAGAGAGCCGGAAGGGAGGGAGAAAGAGGGAGAGACACAGCGACGTCAGAGAGACGCGTTGGCTGGTTGCCTCTCGCACGCGCCGACCAGGGACCAAACCCACAGCCCAGGCCGGTGCCCCGACCGACTGGGACCCGCACAGGCGCCCTCTGGGTTTGTGGGGGTGGCGCCCACCCCCCCGAGCCGCACGCCTAGGACACAGACGCACGGTTTGAGGTCGAGCAGTTCCCGGGCAGCGTGTCTCCCCAGGCTGCCGCACGAGCCACCTGCACGGCTGCTGCGTTTCCGAGTGACAGGCCTGCACCTGACCCCTCGGTCGTTCGGCGTGAGGCGTGGGGTGAGCGCGAGCCGTTCACACCGTCCCGGCCGCGCGGCTCCCCGCACTCGCCTTCTCCGAGGGGCGTCCCATCCTGGGCACGGAGCCCATCGCACCCCCGGCCCCGCCCACTGCGGTCTGGGGGTGCTCGCCCTCTTCCCGCCGAGGCCTGTGGGGGGCTTCAGCAGGGGCAGCGGGTCCAAGGCCTGTCCCCTGGTCCAGCTGACCGAGACCGGGCAGAAGGGACCCCCGCCCTGGGCGGGTGCGGCGCCTGCTCTTCCGGGGGCCTTGAGGGCTCCCGCCCGCCGTGGGGGCCTCCCGGTCCACTCCCCCCACGCCCGCCTGGCCCGTCCTCTCTGCGCCGCGGGGCTGCGTCAGCGCCAGCCGTGCTGCCGTCCTCTCTCCCGCGGGCTCCCTCCCAGGAACCCTTCTTCCTGAACTCCCATCTCTCGGACGCTGGCCTTCCTGAAAGACTCTCTGATTTTTCCATCTTTTCTCTCTGATGTTGCTTCTCTTCGTTTGTCCTCTGTGCTCTTTTTTGGAAGCTGTCTCCACGCTCACCTGCCTGCGTCTTCTGCGAACCCCACGGGCCATCACGACGCTGCCGACAGCCTGGCCCCCCCAGGCCCCCGCCTCCCTGCAGACCCAGGTCTCTAAGGGTCTCGGTGCGGCTTCTGCGCTGCTGGGAGGTTCGTCAGCTCCGTCCGTGGGGCCGGGCCCTGGGCTGCAGCGCTGCTCTCCCGCCCGGAGGCCTTTTCAGAGGTAGAAACTCGGCAACTGGCGGTGAAAACACCGGCCGGACGCCGCGGGCCGGGGGGCTCCCTGCGAGGCTGCTGGGGGCGGCGAACAGACAGGCGGCCTGGACCACCGCCGGGGCACGGGGACCCCAGCGGGAAGGACGGCCTCACAGCCGATGCTGCCGGAACACTCAGCCGCCGTGTGTTACAAAAGAACTTCGATCCACACCTCGCACCGCATACAAAAACCAGCTAAAAACGAGTTGTAAATGTAAAACTTAAAATTATAAAACTTCTAGACGTAAGCGCAGGGAAAGCGCTCGCACCTCCGGGCCAGGGAACCGTTTAGTTCAGCCCGAGACGGACCCACGGTTCTTGTCCTCCTCGGTGGATCGGGCTTCAGCGACGAACTCCGTTCTTTGAAAGACACGCCTGGAAGAATGAAGTGACAAACGCCAGGGGGACGTGTCTGCAAGTAAACACCTGATAAAGGCCTTTTATCCAGATTACATGTTTTTCAGATTATATTTTTAAACCTCTCAAAACGCAGTGATAACGGGAACAAGAAACAGTTTAAAAGTAGGCCAAGGCGCAGCTGCCGCTTCAGCAAAGGAGCGCCGAGGACCCGCTCAGCGTCATCAGTCGTCAGGGAAACGCAGGGGCGGGTCCAAGACCGCCTCGCTGCGAGGACCCGGCCTGGCGGTCGCTTAGGAAAACAGTGCGACAGCGTCTCAGAAAGAGAAACGGCGCGCGCTTCTCGTCGACGCAGCCGCCGCTCCTGGGCGTTGACCAGGGGCGCTGAGAGCCGATGTGCCTGCGCCCAAAGTGGCCCCGCGTCCCGCAGGTGCCGCCGGGGCACCGGGACAGCGCCCTCTGCAACCCGCGGCTCCAACGCGCCGGGAGCGCAAGGCCCGCGGCCGCCGGGGACGCGCCCCCGGAGGGGCCGGTTTCGTGGACACGCGCGTCAAAGGTTGGAAAACTCGCCCCGAATGCGCGTGCGCTGCGTCGCCGCCGCGGTTTCCTTTCCTCGGTCACACCGCTGGTCAGGTGCGGGACGTCCCCTGTCCCTTGCGGTTCGCTGAGAGTTTACATCACGAGTAGATTTTGAATTGTATAGTTTTTTTCCCACCTACGTGGAGACGCTTACGTAATTTTCGTTATCTAACCGATTAAAGGACTGAGTGACGATCGATTTTCGAACGCTCACCCAGCCTTGCCATCCTGGAATAAAGTCCAATGGCTCACGGCCCATGAACTTTTAAGGAAATAAGTTGTAGTTTTTAGAGCAGTTTTGAAATCACAGCAAAACTGAGCAGAAAGCCCAGAGTCCTCCAGGGCTGCCACCCCACGTCGACACCCGCCCGGTGGCCGTTTGCTGCCCTCGCGGGACCCGCACGGGCAGGCGCTGGCTCGCGAGCCCACAGGTGACCTTCGGGCCACTCCCAGAGCCGAGCGTCCTGTGGGTTCAGACACGCCTGTGAGGTCGCGCGTCCACTGTCCTGGCTCCGCGTCCTCCCAGCGTCCGGCGTGGTCAGCCTCTGGGGTGTGGCTGTGCTCCCGGGGGGGCCTTGTTGTTTTGCCTTCCCCTCCCCCGATGGTGTGGGGCGCAGCACCTCACACGCGCCCCCTGCCATCGGCACGTCGTCTGTAACGAGGGCTCTGCTGAGGTCTTGGCTCATTCTTCATACCGGGTTTTTTTTTCAAAAGCAAAAGATTTACACAATCTAAACAGAAACCAGAGTATATCATGTTTTCTAATTGCTGAGTTGTAAGAGAACTTTGTATATTGTGGTTGATAGCCTTTATCAGCTTGATCCTGAAAATATTTTTTTCCACCGAAGCTTTTCTTCTGCCTTTCTGAACTCTGGGATGTGTCAGCTGATTTGATTGCTAACGTTTTGTTCGGTGTTTTTGCATCTATGGTCGTAAGATCTCCTGGGCTTTAACTCTCCTTTCTCCAAATGTCTTTTCACGTGTGGGCACCTGGGCTCAGCCTGGCGGAGCAGGCGGGTTCTCAGAAGGTCCTTCCACGTCCTGCGGAAACGCCTGAGAAGCTCAGAGCCACCTTCCCCTCGCGCGTTCGGAAGAATTCACCAGGAAAGCCATCCGGGTCTAAAGGTTTCTTTGCATTGAAGCTTTAAACTACATACTCATTTAATAGCTATGGCACTATTGAAATTTTCTGTTTTTCTCAGTATCAGTTTTGGCAAAGTCTCATTCTTCAAGGGTTTGGTCTGTTCCATCTGAGCCGTCGCCATGTGTGTGGCTCTCGTGACCCCTGGACGCCCGTGGCTCTGCAGCGGCGCCTCCTCCACTCTTGGCGCCGGTCGCTCTCCGACCACCTCTCTTTCCCGGCGCCCGCCACGGCCCCCGCCTGCACCAGCCGCCGGCCGCTCCGTCTGAAGCGCGCGCCTCGCCGCCGGCCGCTCGGCTCCCCGGTCCGCTCTCCCAGGGGCCCGGCGGAGGCGAGAGCTGGGTGCTGGGCGTGTGCATCACCGGGGACGCGGGGGCCCGGGCCCCTGCGGAGCCCAGAGCGAGGAAGGGCAAGTTAACTAACTTGAACCAACACGCGCAGGTAACCCGCCTCCCCGCAGCCCGGCCTTGCATCGCTGGCGTGCTCTGTGTGTCTCTCTCGTTCTGAACACGCAGCAAGACCGACAGCAACGCACACTCCCTGTGCCTGGCCCCGGGCCAGGGGTGCTCCATCTGCTCTGCAGTGTATGACGTCACAGCCAGCCTCGGGGACAGCAGAGTGAGCGCGTGTCAGCGAAGGGGAAGCAAACCCGGGAAGTGGCGGCCTGGCCGGCGCCCCAGGGAGCTGCAACGAGGAGCCCAGGCGCTGCCCCAACCTTCGGGGGGCGGGGCGGGGCCGGGCGGGCGCCGACATGAACCCAGTGCCTGCGGCCCCGCCCTGGGCTCCAGACCGATGTGGGCGCCTTGCTGACCCGGGACCCTTGGGGCTCACCTGGCGACGACTCTGCTGTCAAAGCTGGGCCGGCACCAGGAGTCCATGAGGGCCAGCAGCCTCCTCTGGAGGCCTGGGAAGCCGTCCACGTAGCGCTCCACGAGGCTCACCTTGTCCTGGAGGAGCAGCGGGGTGCTCACCTGCGGGGGGGGCACCCTCCGGCCGCGGCCCTCGGCAGCCAAGGCCCCAGACTCACCTCCCTTCCGTCACGGGAAGTGGCCAGTGCCCACGTGGCCCGCCCCGCCCCCGCCCCGGCGCCGCCTCCAAGCCCGGCTGGGTCCCGGCTCCCAGAGTGCTGTGCGCGCGACCCAGCCTGCCCGGTGCCCGCCACCGCGTGCACACGTGCGCACACGCGCTCACACCCGCGCCCACACACGTGCGCACACCTGCACACAGGCCCACGCTCCCCGGGTCGCCCCTGCCGCTCTGGCCCAGCCCGTGTCCGCGAGAAAGGGCTGCAGGGAGCTCAGCCCTCCCCCGTGTGCACGGGGCTGTGAGGGCCGCCCTCGTCCTGGGGGCCCAGCGATGCCTCCTCGTGGGCAAGGCAGCACGTGGGCCGGGCCCGCCCCCGGAGGCCCCGAGGGAGCCGCGGGCTGTGGCGTTGCGCCTGGGACGCGCCTGCCCCTCCCCCGCAACAACCAGGCTGCAGCGAAGCCCCTCTACCGCCTTCTCCCCCCAGTGCAGCCCCACGGCGCAGCCGTCGGGAGCGCAGGCGGGATGGGGGCACCTCCAACGGGCCGGTCCTCATGGGAGCCCCCGGGGCCACCCTCCGGCCACCACAGCTGGCCAGCCGGGCGGGCGCCCGGCCGCAGGGAGCACGTGGCACAGGAGTCCGTTGACCGCTCAGGGGCACACGCTGGCGGCTCCCCGCACCCCCTCCCGGTCCCCGCCGTGGTCCTCGGGTCGTGCGGGACCCCTGCCCCCGGTGCCCGGGGCGCCCCTGTGGGCGGCAGAGCCTGACAGGCCTGGGCCTCGCCGAGGGGCACGGAGGACGAGGACGCTCACCTCTTCCACGCCGAGCGCTGGCGGCAGCCGCAGCGTCATGCCCCGCATGGCAGCCTGGCAGGCACAAAGGAGCAGGTCACGCTGCGCCAGGGCACCGGCAGCCGAGGGGGCTCCCGCCCCGCGGTCCCGGCGCCGGGTGAGCGCGGGCACAGCCACCGGGCCTGGGTGCTGAAGCGTCCTGGCGGGGAAGCCCCCTGGGCTGAGCCAGACTCCACGGCGGGGGGCGGGCGTGGGGGGGCAGGGGGCAATGACCCCTCTTCCCCCAGGCTGGGGTGAGGCCCGACGGGGCCTCGAGGTGGGTGCTGAACCCGGGTGGCCCCGGCCAGGGCTTGCTGATGAGTGGGCGGACGGTGGGGGGCAGACGGGAGGCAGAGGCCCGCACACCACGTGCCCAGGGCGCCCCGGACCTGCAGGGAAAGGCGGTCCAACACGAGGGCTTCCCCGGGGGCCGCGGGTGCGGCTGGAGCGGGGCCCAGGCCCCGGCCGCTCAGCAGAGCGCCCGCACGTAGCACAGGCCATGCTATTAATAATTTCCATACATCGTGCTCCCATTATGAGCAAAAATAACCGGCAGGGCAGCCGCCCGCCCTGCATGGCTCACAGAAAGGACCAAAATAGCGGCCTGGGAAAGGCTTGCTCAGGCCTCAGCCCGGATCCCGGGGGCGGGGCCGGGGCCGCGGCCCCTCCCTGTGCAGCGCTGACCCGGCGCCTCGCAGCCTGGCCGGGGTCCAGGAGCGGGGCCTGCACCAGCCCCCGGGGGCCCAGGGCCGGGGGAGGGCACGGGGCTGGCCTGGGCCCGGAGGAGAAGCGGCTGGGGAGGGACTGCCCTTCTAGCCAGTGACCCAGGAGAGGCGAGGGGAGGGGCGGGGAGGGGGCTGCAGGCCGGGGGAGGGGCGGCCGGCGGTCAGCCGCCTCGTCGGGCGGGTCCAGCGCCTTCGAGGCCCAGACTTTGTCGTCCATCTGGACCCAGCTCTCTGGGGTGGGGGAGCCTGGGATGGTGGCCGGACCGCAGGTGGTCAGGGCGGGGCCGTACGCAGGCCGCACACAGCCCCCCCATCTCCAGCCCCACCCCCCGGGCCCTCTGTGCGGCCGCGCTGCGTCCAGGGGCTGCGGGGAGACGGGCCCAGGGGGGAGGGGCCGACTGTGCCGGGAGCTCAGACCTCACCTGCGGGGGGCGCAGCCCTGTCTGGGGCTCACGGATGCTGTCGGAAGGGGGGTTCCCTTCTCTTCTCCCCGGCCCCCCAGGCAGCCAGCTTTCTGTCCGGGCCTTTCCGGCCAACGCGCCTTGTGCTCCCGGGGGGCCCACTCCGGCCTGGCGGCTCGCGTGGATGCTGCAGGGGTGCGGTTAGCGCGCCTGACGCTGCGGGAAGTAGACACCCCCAGGGACGGTTTGGGAGGTGTCCTCACGGGGCGCCACAGCCCCAGAGACCCGGGGGTCAGGCTGGGGGGTGGCGCAGGACCGGGGGTTGGGGCGAGGCCACCTCGTCGCACCCAGCCACAGCGGGGTACCCTGACTTTGCCTGGGGCAGCCGCGGTGACCCGACCCGGGGAGACAGCTGGCAGCAGAACCACCCCCTCCAGGAAGCCCCCGGCCCCGGTCCCGTCTTGGGGCTCCGGCCGGGGGGTGGGGTCCAGGTGGTTCTGCCGTCGGCCTGGGCTTAGAGTCGGTCTCTGGTCACTTCTCAGTCTGAGCTTCTGCTGAGGGGACCGCAGGCCAGGCTGCCCACTGCCTCGCCCCCGGCAGTCTTGGCAGAGGCAGGAGGGCCACCCGCCAGCTCCGGCACCAGGACTGGCCCCAGGTGCGAGGCGGGGAGGCGGGGAGGGGCCGGACCCCGACAACGGAGGCGGCCCAGGGCCGGGCCCACCGGGCCCCTCGCGGGCCTTCCTGAAGTCTGCACGGAGGACGCGCCGGCCGCCAGGGGAGGCCCCGGGCTGCCCAAGGCCGGGCCAGAAGGACTCAGCGCGGCCGCTTCCGGGGAAGAGAACCAAGGAAGCCCAGAGGGGTCAGGGCGGCGGCTGTGGGGAGAGAGCACTAGAGCCGCCGGGCCAGCTGCCCCGGGGGCCTCGGACCCCGGACGGGCCTGCCCCCACCTCCGCGCTCGGCTGGGCCTGCAGCCAAGGCCCCCCCCCCTTTTTTTTAAAGCAAAGCTATCTTTTTACCTTGATAAGCTGTTTAAAAAATGTAAATAAAATAAGTCAGTAGACAAAAGGGGGCATTCATCCCACTCGGAGCCAGCCGCCGCCTGGACATGAAATACCGCGTCGCGTTGGGCCGGCGGAGCCTGCTGCTCCGAGCACGCAGGCCTGCATGCGGCCTGGCGCGGGCGCTGCGGCTCATACCGCCCGCCGGGCGGCCCGCCCGGGACAATGGCTTTTCTGCGCAGGAGGGGCCTGTGCGGGACAAGAGCCCCCTTTGTGTCGGGATTCCTGCCTCGGAGCGCGAGGGAGGCGCATTCAGCCGCCCCAGACGCTCTTTGAAAGGCTCGAGTGCAACAGAAGACAGGAAACACTAGCCGGCCTCCTGCATTCCTCGAAGGCACAGCCGCCCATTCAGCCCCGGAGAACGGCCTGGGCCCGTGAGCAGGAGCCCGGCCCCGCATTGTCCCCACGCGGCCGTCTCGGAGCCGCAGCGCCCGTCGCCAGCCGCAGGGCCCACCCCCGAGCCCCCAGAGCCTCAGTTCCGAGGCCGGGCCTCTCCAGGAGCGGGGGCCACACCTCGGTGCCCCGCCTGCCCCTGAGAGCGCTGGCCGGGCCCCAGCAGGCCGTGCGTGGGGCGAGCGGGACCGAGCCGGAGGTCCCCAGACGCGGGCCCCTCCCTCCGTGGGAGCCCCACCCCCGCCGGCACCCTGGATCCGCTGCTCGCTGCCTGACGCTGTGATTGTCACGTGTCATCGCACGGAGAAGCCTGGGGGATCCCCTGCGCCCAAGTCCCGCTTCAGGGCCTTGCCTTCCCCGCAGACTCCTCAGGGCTTCAACGAGGGCAGCCCTGCTCCGCAAGGAAATGCCGCGAATTCCCGGGACGGCACGGCCTCGGTTCCCACCTGGAGACCCAGAGCCGCTCGGCCCCCGCTTCCACGGCGCCGCCTTCCCCACAGCAAGGGGCAGAATGGGCCCTGCTCGCGCGCCCAAACGCATGCCCACCCCCCCGCGACTCTCCGTGGACATGACTGGTGGTCTGTGCCCCACACTGAGCTTCCACACACTCGGGAGCGTAGCCGCTGGTGCAGGGGGAGGCGGCCCTGCCTGAGCCTGGCGGCAGCCAGCCCCTCCCAGAGCCAAGACCGCTGGCTGCCCTGTCCATGCAAACACTCGGGGTGGGGGGTGCTCCCCAAAGCGTGGCCCCCAGGCTCCCCGGCGGGGCTTCCTGACAGACCTGGGGAGGCGTGGACGCAGCACCCAGGGTTCTCAGCCACCCTGCGGACCCCACAGGCAGGCAGGGGCCGCAGCCTGAGAACCGGAAGGAGTGTCCCTGAGCCCGCCGCCCCCCCGACCCGGAAGGGCCCCGGGCCCCGCGGAGTCCACTCTCACTTCCTTGAACTTGCCCTCCTCGTGGAGCCGGTGGACGTGGGCCGGGAGGGAGCTCCGATCCGTGTCCTGCAGCCGGAAGATGCTGACCAGCGGCTCCACGAGGCTGGGAGGACTATCAGCCAAGACCCTGAGGGCATAGGCCTGCAGTTGCCTCGGCCCCGGGCTGCCCTGGAAGTCCCGAGACCCGGCCTCGGCGGGCGGGGGGATTCCTGGGGCCGGGCGGGCGAGGCCCGGAGGGTGGGGGGGTGGGGGGCGGGGGGCACGTGTGGCTCCAGCCTCAGCGGCCAGTCCCGAGGCCGAGTACCAGCCCCCACCCCCACGGGCAACCCTGGGGGCTGCGGAGCGTGGAGCCCACGGAGCCGAGACCAGTGGACAGGGTGCGAGGGCTGCATCTTTGGAGCTCGGTGATGGGCTCACCTGAGGGGGTTCCCCCGGGTAGGCCCGAGGGGGCTGTGCCTGCAGCCAACGCTCCGGCTCGCGGGCGACCCAGGCCGGCAGGGTGGGGCCCCTCCTCTGCCAGGCCCGGCCGCCCTCCAGCAGGTCCAGGAGGCCAGCCCGCGGGTCATCCAGGGCAGCGAACCCCCAACCTGGAGCTGCGGGGACACAGATCTCTCAGGTCCTCCCTCCGGCCCGGCCCGGCCCTGCCCAGCGGCGTCAGGGCAGCTGGTGGGGAGACAGACCGGTGACCACCAGCAGCACCCGGTCCCCGTGGCGTCTCAAGCAGGCGGGGCTGGGCCCCCGGGCCTTAGCCCCTGCTGCGCCCCAGGCGGGCCCCCCCCAGCACGGCCAAGGGCCCCCCGGGCCCCCCGGGCCCCCCAGCCCCGTTGCTTGTCTGAGCCCGTGGGCGGCCTGGAGATCCCCTGTGGGCCCCCAGCTCGGTGCTGCCCGGGGAAGGGGCCCGCGGGGCGCCCGGTCGGGAGGAGGGCAGGGACACCGCCACTGCGGACGGGGACGGTGCTCTCGGCCAGGTCCCAGCGAAGCAGCGGCCCGGGCACCCAGCCCTGGGTCGCCCCCAGCCACCAGCGCCCCTGGCGGCCTCGGAGAGCCGGCCCCGCCCCCGCCCGCTGTGCCTCAGCGCAGCCCTGCCCGCCTCCTCATCCTCACCTGCCGCCCCCCCCCCTCCGCGCCGGGCTGCACAGGCCCTGCCCCCAGCCGCCAGGCGCCCCGCCGCTGAGCGAGCTCTGCTGTCCAGCCCTCCGCCCTCCCGCCGGCCGTGGGGTTGCTGAGCTCGGGACCCAGAGCAAACGTCCAGCAGAAACGCCTCTTCTGTTGTCAAGAGTGACGGGGCCACTGGGCTCTGAGCCGGGGGGACAGGAGGGACGGCCGCCCAGGGGCTGGGCACCTGGCGTGACCCCGACCCCAACCCCGACCCAGACCCCTCAGGGAGGTGGAGACGCCCCTGGCGCTGACCCAGGCCCAGCCAGGCGCGCACACGGCAGGGTCAGGGGTCAGAGTCGGGACCCGCCAGGGAGAGGGCGGTTCCTCGCGGACCCCTGGCTGGAATGGGGGGTGAGAACCAGCAAATCCCCCCGAGAACTGAGGGGGCAGCGACAACGGGCCAGACCCCTGCACTGACGGGACCCAGAGGGGAGCCCCCGGGGGCACAGCCCGGCCGAGCCCTGGAAGGCAGCCACCGGGACACAGACAGACCCAGGGGTTAGACTGATGGCCTCCGACCTCCGACCTCCACCCTCTGACCTGCAGTGAGGGGGGGCTCACCCGCGGGCTGGACGCTGAGTGAACAGCAGGACATCTGTCACTGCGACTCCCTCACGGGCCCGGGGACACAGCCACACAGCTCCTGTCACCGTGTAAGAAACAACTCAGGAAACTGAGAGGCAGGAAAACGTCCTTAACCGGACAGAAGGCTGCCACGGAGCCCCCAAAACGCAGACCTGACCCCCACGGTCCCCGTGCAGAAGCAGCGAAGGGTCCGCTGTCGCCCGCACGGCCCGAGGGGCGGCCGCAAGCGCGGTCATTCTGACAGCCCACCGGGCCCGTGCGGGCCGCGGGGCACCCAGTGCGTGAAGGGCACGAGCCGCCCGCCGGGCAGAGTCCCGGGGACCTGGCAGCATGTGGCCGCGGGGCAGAGGCCACACAGTAGGGCCGCGCCCTGTGCGACTCCAATTCTGTGACGCCCTGGAAAAGGCCGAACTGTGGGGAGAGTGGTGGTGGGGGGGGCTTTCGGGGGAGGCGGGGGCGGCACGCGCGTCGTCAGACGCCAGTCCAACCCCACGGAACGCTCGGCACCGGGCGTGACCCTGACGATGCCCCCCCCAGACTCGGGTGGCGACGACGCGTCAACAGTGAGACCGACTAGCGGACGCTGCACAAACACAACCCGCCGTGGGGGGGGCGCCCCAGGAGCGGGTTGTCCTGGCTCAGGCGTCAGCGCGCGGCCCCCTCGGCTTCCTGGATACGCCCTCTGCGGTGACGAGACTCCCGCGTTGACGCAGGCCCGCGGTGGCACCACGCAGACCGGCCTGCGGGGCGCTGATCATGGGGAGGCTGTCGGGGGTCGGGAGGGCGCCCGCGGGAAGTCTCTGCACGTTCTTCATTTTGCTGTGGTTCTAAAATTGCTGCCCAAAAATGTCTTTAAAAATAAAAACAAAAGCATCGTGACTCACTGACAGAATGACGGAGTCTGTGGGAAGCCACAGAGACTCTAGGGCGGTTATTAGACTCAGTCAACGAGCGCGGCACAGGCCAGCGGCTTCCCTGCCAAGTACGGGGCGGGCCGAGAAGTCCGTTCGGCTCTTTTCCGTAGAATAAAAGACACGGTTTTCACTTTCGCCGATGGCTCTGTTGGCCTGAATGCTTTGAGCAGGTCGGCTGTCTCCGGCCGGCATCGGCCTGGAGGCCGGGCGGCGGCCGGGCGCCCTGCAGTGCCTTGGGCGGCCCCACAGCAAAGGATTCTTTGCCGGAATGCCCGCAGCGCCGACGAACTCTGAACTCTGCGGGCCGCGTCGGACGCGTTCGGGCGGTCACAGGACCCTCTCCCTGCACGGCCCAAATCTTGTGTTTCAGTTGCATTTTTACTTTTCTTGACATAATAAAGCATAATATGCCGAAAATGTTGCGTATTCTCTTCCATCCTCACTATTAAAATGGCTGCACAGAAATTCACCAATTTTGATAGGTTTTTTTAAACGCACGCGGATAGGACGGCTGTCACAGCACAACCTTAACAAAAGTGTTTTGAGTGACATTAACGACCGCTAAGCGCCGCGAGAGCCGACACCGAAGGAAACTAAAGGAGCTGTCGGCGGACCCCACGGCCGCGCGCAGAAACGAGCATCCGTGGCAGCGGCCCCCAAATCCCAAAGCTCTTGGGATAAATCTCGCAAACCCAGTTCATGCGAAAAGCCCATAGAACGTTCTTGAAAAAGACCTAACGGAGGCAGGACTGGCCCGGACAATCGAAGGCGCAACGTGGTCGTTGGCCCAGACTTAGCAGTAGATGCTGCGGGACCCGTGCACACAGCAGTGCACGCGTGCGCGCGCGGCTGTCCGTGGGGCGGTGTGAGCGGGGGTGAGTGGGTGTACCAGTGTGTGCGCGCGCACATGCGCGTGTGCCGGGTGTGCCGGGTGGGTGTGTGCATGTGGGGGGGGGGGGGGGGCGCGGCCCTGACCCTGAGGGGCTCTGTCCACAGGGAGGACGTCAGCCGCACCCCCCCAGGCCTGGGCCCCAAGTCCACAGCTCATGTCCGGGACGGGTGGCCTCTGGCCTGGTGCCTGACCCCCGACGCGCCCAGGCGCGCGTGGGTGGGGGTGCAGCTGCCTGCTGGCAGGACAGTGAAGAGGAACTCGAGCGGACGATTCACTGTACGCTCCCGGGCATTGGCGGGGTGCACCGCCACTCCTGCCAGCGGCCCCCCAGGGCAGGGGAGGGGCTCGCGCAGAACCCGACCGCCAGGCGCCAGCCTGCAGAGCCGCGGCGGCCCCTTCGCACACCTGTGAGGGCCAGCCCGGCACTGGCTTCCTGAGGCGCGCACGGCAGCCGGACTCCCCAAGGCCCCCCGCGAACTCCAGCACCCCGAAAACCTGGCACTGGCCAGATGCCAGGGACGCAGCGCTTCTGGCTCCGGCACCTGAAGGCCACGCTTCCAGGAGGAAGACGATCATCGAGCCCAAGTGAGGTCTCAACTGAGCATGTTGGCTCGGCTCTGCTCGGGGAGGCAGGGAGGATAGGCCACATGTCCTGGCCCCACGTCACTCTTGGCCACCAGTGGCAGGACCAGCTGGTGGCCTGGGGCTGACCTGATGCTGGCGCCCTGCCTTCCCTCCACGGAGGCCCTGGGGTCTCGGGGTGTCCAAGTTCCGGGGGACAGCGGAAGGAGGGCCCTGCTGAGCAGCAAACCCAGCGGAGGGGCCACAAGCACCGGGGGGCCGCCTGGGCCCTGGTGGAGAGGCCCTCGCTGAGGAGGGCGCCCCGGGCCCCGGCCAGCCTGCCAGCCGAGCCGCTCCCCCCGCGGGCCAGGGGGCGGGCGCCCCGGGCGGGTGGGTGCCGTGACTGGGGGGGGCTGCTTCTGCTGGCGGGGCTGTGTCCGTTCGGGGGCGTCTGGTGGGCGGGGGCTGTGTCGGCTTGAGGGGCACCTGATGGGGGTGCCCTGTGTGTGATGTGAAGTCGCAGGGAGGTGGGTGTCAAGGGCCGGCAGAGCCCACGCCGGGGGCCGAGGGGGGAAGTGCTGGCCGAGGGGCAGGCGGGCGCCTGGGCTGCCACCCTGGACGGTGCGCCCTTGAGCCTGCAAAGTGCGCGGGGCTCTGGGAGGGGCCGCTGGGTCTGGGGAAACCGAGGCATGAGCTGCAGAGCGGGGAAGGGCTGCGGTGCCTTCCGGGCAGGTCCGGACTCCGCGGCCGACCCCGTCAGAGGGGGCCTGTGAAGGAGGAGGCCGGGTGGCTACAGGCTCTGCTGTGCCGCCCGGGTGGTGGTGGGACCGTGGGGGGCCGTGGGGGAGTGCAATGCTGGGGGGGCCGGCCCCTTGTCGGCTCCAGGGAGGGGCCCTGCCTGGGGGCCTAAAGGCGCCCCCGTGGGCACCACCTGCTACCCCTAAACCCTGAATCCTGACCCCAAGGCCCCTGGGTCTCTGTCCCCCATGACCCTGGGTCCTGGCTCCTGTGCCTGGTTGGGCAGAGCAAACCCCGCTGGGGAGGCTGGTGGGGACGGCGGGGGGCCTGGGACGGAGAGGTGCGCCGACTCCGGGGACCGGGTCTCAGGGGACATGAGAAGGCGGGTCTCTGCCGTCACACCCATGGCACCAAAGGGAGGCCGCCTGCCCCCCACGTGCCTCTGCAGCCCCCCGCCCGCAGCTGGGACCCGGGCTGCCCCTGCACCCCCTCCCCCAGGCCTTGGCCCAGGGCCGGGGCGCCACGTGGGGTCCCTGGGCTCCCGCACTCACAGCGCCTGGCAGGGCGGATAGGACACCTTTGTGTCCGGCCAGGAGCCCGAGGCGGCGGCTCGAGGCGGGTGCAGCGCCAGCACTCGGCCAGACTCCGGGCGCCGGCGCCCCAGCTGCCCCCGCTTCCGCCCCACTATGGCTCCTGTCCTGCTCCCTGAAGGGTCCTGGGTCCCAGCCGGCTCTCCGCATCATCCGTCCAGCGAGTGGGGCCCCGTGTCCTGTCCCCTGAGGACACCCACGTCCACACCAGAGTTCACCCCAAGTGCTCCAGCCCCACCCAGGGCTGGGCGCCCGGACGGGGTCCCTGCCCAGAGCACACACGTGTCCCCGGGCACAGGGCGCTACATACAGTGCACACGCGTCCCACCCCCCCCCATGGCCCTGCGCACGCACCCCAAGCGCACACCCTGTGCACACACCACACATGCGCACTCCGCACACCTGGCCCTGCCACGTGTGGCTCAGCGGGACTCAGGGCCGCGTGGGGCACAGACTCACCCACGGAGGAGGGGTCTCTAGCAGTCGCGGGGTCTCTGGCGGCAGCGGGTCTCTAGCAGCCGCGGGGTGTCCAGGGTCCGTCCTCAGGCCGGGTCTGGCCGGGGAGGCAGCAGGCAGCTAGAGGCGTGTGGAACTAGAAGGGAGAGAAGAGAGACAATTAGGCTCCGGGCAGGCCATGCAGTGCCCATGCCTGTGGTCCCGGAGGGGTGGGGGCCCAGGTAGCCTTGGCTTCCCGGACTGCACAGGTGGGCCCGCCACGAGGACCCACAGGGACCCACGAGCTCTCCACATGGGCTCCCCTGGCTCGAGGCCACCCCGGCCGGCAACGTGGTTACATTTCCCGGCGGCCAACAGGGTCCTGTGGACATGCATTCTGCTTGGGACACCGCCCCACACTTGCAAAGAGCACCGTGTGTCCTCCTTTAACCTGTTCACGGGAGGCCTTATGAGACTTTCTGCTCCCGTGCAGTTCCTGCCAAGCAGACGCACAGCAGGGCCGTGGCGGGACGTGGCGGGACGTGGCCGGTCGGCAGCCACCCGCGGCAAGCACTGCACCGCACCGCACGGGCGGCCGATGGCGTCACGCCCCTTGGTCCTGCGTTTTTATAGCCTTTGCATGTGGGAATGGTAATGTCTCCGACACATGGAGGTTAAATAAAGCATAGCAGTAAAATTAATCTCACCTGTTTCTTTGCACGTTCTCAGCGTGCCTGCTGGGACACTTGAAAGCACAGGCGTGGCCCGCATGTCTCTGCCGGACACTGTGGTCTCAACTGGGGAACAGCCGCTCAGACAGACCGGCCACAGGCGGCTCGGCGGCCTCCCGCCCAAGCGCGCCGCCCACACCCGCCCGCCCGCACGCAGCCTCGGCTCCTCACAAGGCAGCCCACGGGGAAGTCACCGCCCCGTCCCCCAAGTCCAGACGCAGGGCCTCCCAGGCCCCCGAGGCACGGGGGGCCCAGCCGGACCCCTGCCCGCAGGCCGCTCAGGCCGCTTCTGTCAGACGACAGCCCCGACGTGAAAGCCAGACTGACTGGCTTTCACGCTGAATTGAAAGTGTGCGCGTGTCTCAGCGACTTTTTTACGGCTTTGAGGTGTGATTCACACACTGCAGAGTGCGCCCTTCCCCAGGGCGCAGCCCGGTGTTCCCGCGTATTCAGGTGTCGGCCCCCATCGGCCGGGCGGCACGCAGCACTGCACCCCCAGGAGCCCCGCCCGGCCTCCCCGCCGGGCGGCCGCACGCCCTGCCCTGCCTCCGTGGGCCTGCGCGTGTGGACGCTCTGTGCCCTTGGGTCACGTGATGCGAAGTCTTTGTGCCCAGCTCCTCCACGGAGCACGTTTCTGGGGCAGCTGCGGTGGCCCGGGGCCCGCGCCCCCCTGGAGTCCGTCGGTGACCGTCACTCTGGTGGCCATGTGGGCTCCAGCCCTGCATGGAGGTCGCGGGGAACCAGCCCCTGGCTGCGGACCCTCCCCAGGGGCAGCTGGGCTGCAGTGGGCGGGGGGCAGAGGTCGCCGGCCGGACGCTGGTGGGCCCTCCTGCTCCCTCTCTGCTTTCGCAGGCCGCGTTCGACGGAACGAGGTGGCCAGGAAAAACCGCATGCTAGAAAAAATTCCTCCCTGTGGGGCGCAAATTGGTGTAACTGGAGGGGCCACGTGGCAGGGTGTGCTGCGCCCCTCGCTGGAGCTGCGTGGATGCACACGAGGACCCCCAGGCCTCCCCCCGAGTGCTGGGGCTGCAGACCGCCGGTTCTCGGTATTCTCTGTTTTATGTTTTGCATTTTCTCAATATTATTCAATGAACACACTCTGCTTTGTACTCACGAACAAAGGAAACCCCCGCCCTGGCCTGGCGGCTCCGTGGTCAGGGTGTCGTCCTGATGCGCCCAGGCCGCAGGTTCGGTCCCCAGGCAGGGCGCGGAGAAGAATCGACCCGTGAATGCCTGCGAGCCACTGCGGCCGGGCGCTCGTTTCGAACGCCCCGGCGGGCGCACCGCGAGCCCATCTCCACCGTGGTCTCTCCTCCCTTCGTGCCCAGTGGTTTCCTTCTCTGCTTTTCCTTAGTCTGGTCAGAAGCTGATCTCAGCAATCTTTTCGAAGAACTAGTTTTTGATCTTATGAACGTTATGCTTTCTGATTTAGCATTTCGTTAATTGAGCTTTTCTATTGCGGTCTCTTCTCCCTCCTGGTATCTTTTTAAAAAGTATTTTATTTACTTATTTTTAGAGAGAGAGGGAGGGAGGGAGAGAGGGAGAGAGGGAGAGAAACATCCGCGTGTGGTTAATTGTCATGTGCCCCCCACTGGGGACCTGGCCCGCAACCCAGACCTGTGCCCTGCCTGGGAATCGAACCAGCGACCTTTCTGCTCACAGGCCGACACTCAGTCCACTGAGCCGCACCGGCCAGGGCTCTTCGGTCTGTTTTTGACATTTGAGGCATAGCTTCCTTCCTTGAATGCTTTTTGGTTAAATACGAGCTTCCTGGATTTGCTTTTTCTCTTAATGGTCCACAGATGATCCTCTCCTTCCACAGCCGCCTGCCCTTCGCTCACAGGGACCTGTTATGTCTCTGAGAGGACCCCACGCCGGCCCTTTCCCTTCGATGTTTCCCGGTGCAGTTCGCTCGCTCAGTCCTTCATTGCACGGGGCACACACGCTGCTTTACACGGGCTGTTTTTGTTTCATTTGATTCATGAGACGACATCACGGAGGCAGTTTGCTAGAGACCCCTCGTTCGCACGGGTCTCCCTGCAGACAGCGGCCCACGGCCTGGGCACCCGGCCCGCGGAGCAGCCGGGGCTCCGGGCACCCCCCGCTGAGGGCTGGACTGTGTCCATGCCGCGGCACAGACGGGGCTCGGAGACCAGCAGCCGAGGGGGGAGCCGCCTGCCTCCCGGGCCCCTGCACCCGCGACCCTGCGGGAGTGGATAAAAACTCCCCATCCCATCATCTCCTTTCAGCTCCGACCCTGGAAGGAGATCGGCCTCGATCAGCCTCCTGCTGCCGGAGGAGAGCGCGCCCGTCGGGTGCGCCCGCCCCTTCCTGGGTATTTCTAGTTTTCTTCTTGGAGAAAATGGGTTGGTGGGGGGGGGGGCACCGCAAGGTCGTGAGCTAACGTGTTAACGGCCCGCAGCCCGTAAACAGGCTGCAGCGGTGGGTTCGGAGCCGCGAGCCTGGCGGCAGCGGCCACCAGGGTGCCCCACCAGGGCAGCCGCCGGCACAAGGGCCCGTGGGGGGCGCGCGGAGAGCGTGCGTGGCGGCCGCAGCCCCGGCATGCCCGGCCGGCCGGGGCGGAACTTGGGAGTCAGCGTGAAGGGCCCACGGACAAAGCCAAAATGGGGACGGACTAGGGGTGGGAGTGGGGGCGAGTGGGGCAGGGGAAAGTGGTGGGGGGAGGAAGTCAAGCGTCTCCAGGCTCTATTTCCTTAGAGAAAAATCTTACATGGCATTTTTTTCTCTTGGAAAGTGCCATTGTTTAAAAACACAAAACCAAAAAGCCTTCCTTGAATTGAGCTACAGTCAATTTCCAAACATCCAGTTCCTCCTCATTTGATTGGCATTTGTGCTCTACAACGAACCCCGGGGAGGGAACGTCCTCGGGGAGGCAGGTCCGTGGGTGCAGGCGCTCGGGGTCCCCTGCTGGCTGCTCCATCTCCCGGGGAGGCCGGGGCCGGGACCGCAGGCGGAGCGGGGGCCCCGGAGGACCCCAGCCATGGGGGCAGCCGGGGAGCAGATGGGACCTGCCCGTGCCCCTGAGGCTCCAGGTCAAGAAGGACCGAGACGGACGCGCAGATGGGTCGGCAGAGCCGAGCCCCTCCCGCCCAGAGGAGGGGACGGGAGGCCCCGGGGGGTGAGGGGTGGTCAGGCCGAGGGTGTGGGGCCTGCAGCCGTTGGCAAGGAGGACCCCCGGGTGGGACAGTAGGACCGTGAGAGCCAACCGGGGAGCTTACAGTGGGAGGGGGTCGGCGCCGTAGAGGCCGTGGCCCCCGAGACAGGACAGCGACCCTGAGCAGACACCGCTGGGGGACCAGGAGGGACGGGGGTGTGGGAGGTGTGGTCCGGCCAGTCTGGGAGGACGGGAGTGTGAGAAGCTCGGTCTGCGCGCCCAGGAGCCCAGCAGGGACCCCAGGGCCTGGCTGGCGCCTCAAAGGCCCCGCCCCCATCACTCTGCACAGCATCCCCCGCCCCCGCCACGAGCACCCGTTGGCCCAGCCCACAGGAGAGGACGCCGTGGCCTCAGAGAGCTGGCCCAGGGTGGCACCGGAGGAGACACCGCCCGCCCGCCCGCCCGCCCCGCAGGACCAACCAGGGAAGGAGGGCGGCCAGCCTCTGAGTGACCGCTGAGCTCTGCGCCCCAGCAGCCGTTCTGGGCACAGGCCTCCTGGACCCTGGAGGCCCCGATGGTCTGCGGCGCAGGGAAAAGGGCGCCGCCATCCACGGGGGCATTTCCGGGGCTGGGGGCTGGGTGATCTTATTTGTCAGCCTGGCGAGGCCACGGTGCCCAGAGAGGTGGTCAAACACAGGCCCGAGCTGCTGTGAAACGGATTCAGGGATTCAGGGGTGTCCAACCTGTGGCCCGTGGGCCTCATGAAGCCCAGGGTGGCTATGAATGTGGCCCCACACAAAATCGTAAATTTACTTAAAACATTATTAGAGCCCTGGCTGGTGTGGCTCAGTGGACTGAGCGCGAGCCTGGGAACCAAGGGGTCGCTGGTTCGATCGCCCATCAGGGCACAGGCTTGGGCTGCGGGCCAGGTCCCTGCTCAGGGGCATGTGAGAGGCAACCTGTCGATGTGTCTCATACATTGATGTTCCTCTCCCTCTCTTTCTGCCTCCCTTCCCCTCTCTCTAAAAGTAAATAAATAAAATCTTAAAACAAAACCAAAAAAATTGTGAGATTTTTTTGTGATTCTGTGCCACAATGTATTTAATGCGTAGCCTGGGACAACTCTTTTTCCAGCGTGACCGGAGATGCCAAAAGGCTGGACACCCCTGTTTTGGATAGCACCCTCCCCCCGTGAGGTGGGTGGGCCTCATCATTCGGTTGAAGGCCTTCAGACAACCGGCTGAGGAGGGACGCGGCCTCCTGGCGGCCTTGGCCTTGAGCCGCAGCATCAGCGCTGCCCGGGCCGCGGCCCGCAGCCCTCCCTGCAGCTGTGCACCTGCCAGCCCCCCAACCGCTCGAGCTGAGTCCTTAAAATCGCCCACCCGCTCCCTCTGGGTGCCGGTGTGGCACTGTGTTTCTGGGGAACCTCCTGGACAAGCGTCATTTCAGGTGGAGTCGGGCAGGAGGGGGCGCTGTCGCCGACCTTCCAGGACAGAACCGCCGTCTACCCGCCCAGCGGGCTGCGCACGAAACCCGCTGCCCGGCGGCCCGCCCGCGAGAGCCCGCCACCTTCGCGAGCCCTCGCTCCCCGCCAGTGGACTTCCGCTCGCAGCAACCTCTCGCAACTTCCTCCTTTTTCTCCCTAAAATAACACGCTTGTTTTGTTGGGCTGGCTTTGCTGTAGCTTGCTTGTCCTGAATAGTGATTCTTTGCTGTTCCCACATAAATCTATTTTCGCTGGTAAAATAACTTTTATTTTTAAGGTCAACAAGGCCCACTGCCCATCACCACATGGGGACAACCCAGCCACGGGCTGGGGTGAGGCTGGGTGCCTGCTCACTGGGACCGCATCTCTGGGGGAAAGATGGGGAGCGCTGGCGGCGGCGGGGACGGGAGGGAGTCCCCCAAATTGTAGCTGGGTCGCTGTCACCACCTGCTTCTCCGGCGGAGCGGGTTGACGTCGGGCTCCCGGGAGAGGCTCCTGGAGACCCCTCCTGGGATGGGCCGGCCGCCCTCGGGTCCCTCCCAGTGGTGTCCCTCTGCAGCACTGGCCGCTGGCGTGGGGACCATGTGTGGCCTGTGGCTCCGGGTGTATTCCACGCGCAGCTCTGCCCGCAGAGCCGGGGCACGAAGGCTTCGCACCTGTCAGTCGGCCCGCGGGCTGGCGGGGAGGGAGCGACAGTGGCCACTAAGGGGCGCTGCCCACCGCAGCTCCTCGGCGCAGCCCTGCCTCTGCTCTCCAGCCGCCCGAGCCGGCCCTTCTCGGCCCACACCCCGAGGTCGCTCACCTGAGCCTGCGGGGTCCGCCCGGAACCTTGGCCCAGCAGCAGCGTCAGCAACGGACCCGGACGGCTTTCCCCGGAGCACCCAGAAGAACGCGGCCGGGCCGGCTCGGGGCGGCCGGCGGGGAAGCGCGAGCGCTCGGAGCTATTCCGCGAAAGCCCGGGGGGCGGGACCGAAACTGAAACGGGCGGTCCAGGGGGCTGGGCTGGGGGGCAGGGGCGTGGTCGAGCGGTCCGGGGCGGGGCCAGATCCAGGAGGGGCCGCGCCACTGGTTGGGGCGTGGTCGGGGCGGGACTCTGCCTGGTGGGCGGGGCTGACGCGGGGAGGGGGCCGCTCTGTCGGGCAGGGGATCCAGGGACAGCAGGAGGCGTGGCGCACCTGGCGCTCGCGGACGTCCTGTCTGCGTCCAAGTGCCCAGCGTTCCTCCGCCCCTGACCCCCACCGGCCTCGAAGGGGCACCACAGCCCGAGCCCACCTCTGGACCCAGACGACCCTGTTCCGCCGTCCTCGGCCCCCCAGTCATCCCACCGGACCCCTCACGGCACCCCACCCCGCCACCTGCCGCGCTCCGGCCCGGAAGCAGTGACTTCCGCCGCGGCCGCACAGGTGCCGACGCCGCCATGCCCTCGCTCGCGGACCTGGTGCTCGACTGGCAGCGGGGCGTGCAGGCTGTGGCGCGCGGGGACTGGGACTGCGCCCTGCGCCTCTTCTCGGGCGTCCCAGGGCCGCCCGCCAAAATGTGCTTCAACGTGGGCTGCGTGCATCTGCTGGCCGGGGACCCCGAGGCGGCGCTGCGGGTGAGCCAGGGCGCCCCAGCGTTGGTCGTTGAGACTCCACCTCTGGGGGCGGCTGTTCTCTGGCACCGGGGGCCTTGCCGCGCGCGGAGCCACTGAGCCGGGAGATGAAGACCCGGCTGCAGGGATAAGCCCCGCCCTTTCTCCCCAGGGTCACCTGGGCGTGTGTGTGTCCACTGTTCTGCCTCCATGAACACCTGAGGCAGGAGAGAGCTGTGTGGGTGCGGGACCCTCGTCCTGGGTTGGCTGAGTCAGGCCAGCGTGGGGGAGGGGTGTGTGTGCGGGGGCTCGTCCCGCCTCCAGCATGCGGTGACCTTCTGGCCGCAGGGAAAGGCCGGTCCAGCACGGCCTCGGGTGCTCGCGCAGCGGGTGGCGCTAAGGTGTCTGGAAACAAGCTCTAGGCTGGATCCGGCTGGGAAGGGGCTTACCTGTCCCCGAAGGTGTAGGGTTTGGCGCAGGGGGCTTCGGCAGATGCCTGTAGGGATCGTGAGGAGACACGTCTGTGCCCAAAGCCCAGATGTGAGGCTTCCTTGTCTCCCAGTCTGCTCCCCAAACAGAACCAGGAGCACAGCGCTGCACAGCGGCCCCCACACCTGGCTCCGCCCAGGGGCAGCACAAAGCCCCTCTCTGCCCTTTAAAGGCTTTGTGTTCACGCGGCGACGCATGAGCCCCAGCTTCTGGAAAGAACCCGGTTCCTAGGTCCTTCATGTGGTCGAAGAAAACGCACAAATGAAAGAAGAGGCGGTGACGCGGAGTAACATCCACGTCGGTGTCTCCCAAACTCCTCTACCCGAAGGGACCGGGGACTCGCCGCCATTTCTGACCTCCCATAGGGACTCACGGCGCTCAGTGACCTCTTCTGTTTGTTGTCCAGGGCGGGGAGTCCGATTGGCGGACACCAGGTGGATCCGCAGCCACAGGTGTCAGGCCGTCCGGTCATCGCGGCTGCGTCACTGTGACGTAAACGGGGAGGGGGACGCGTGCTCCGTTCCCCCCTCCCCTGAAAGGAGAAGCCTAGTGCTGTCGGAAGGCAATGAAATGAAGCGGCAGTTGAATGGACGTATTAGTTGGAAATGCGGAGATTTTTAAAAGCAGGCGGAGCAGCTGCCATTAATCATTCTTCTGGGGAGTGGCAGCGGGGAGGGGGGCGGAGGTGCTGGGACGGCTCTCTCCTGTCTGAGCCCCACACGGGCCTGCGGCTGGCTGTCCCCGGCGGGGGAGGGGACGGGCCGGCACACAGGCAGTGGGGCTGCCACTGCGTGGCCGCCACACAGAACCGTCAGCCTTGGGTCCCATCCAGTCCGACAAGCCCCTAGCTCGGCCACGCCTGTTAGAGTGAGACCGCCACCCTCCTTCGGTGGCCTCCGCGCCCAGATGGCGCCGTTTCTGAGTGTGGCTGAGGGTGTAGTTCTTCCCGGGGCTGCTGGATAAGAAGTGTGTCATGGTGTATGAGCCACCAAAAATAGGGCCAAAGACGAAAATCTTGCATGACTGTGTCCCCTCCAGGCCACTTGCGTCCATGTGCGGGACTGGTTCCTAGTGTCTCCCCTTGCCCTCGCGGTAAACAAAGTGGTTCGTGCCGCCACCTCGCTGCGCCCTGAACCCCTCGTGAGGCTCCTGGGGGGTCGGGGTTGGGGCAGCGGAGGGACCTGAGTAGCCCCGTGCGCCCAGGCCCGAGCGCTGAGGACCCCGGGCTGGCCCAGGGGACCTTCCCGGGGCCGTGGAATTCCTTGGCCCCGTGGCTGGACATCTGCCTGGACTGCGTCTGTGACCGGTGGTGACAGGTTTCAGGCCTTGGCATTCCATGGACGTATCTGTTCCCAGGCGTTTGACCAAGCCGTGGCCCGGGACGCCTACCTGGCTGTCGGCTTCTTCCAGCGAGGAGTGGCCAACCTCCAGCTGGAGAGGTGAGCACGGGGCCCCTCGTCCCTTCCTTGAGGCCCCTCGTGACCCTGCCTCCACCCGCTCCCGCGGGCCACCTCCTGCTTGATGGGGCCTCTTGTCTCTGCGGGGCCCACGCATCACGGTCACCCCCTCCTTCGCCCCTCACGACGTCTACTGTAGCAGGACCGGTGTGGGGGCCGAGGGTGGGGCTGGAGTGGTGTGTCCCCGGACCCAGAGGGGTTTGGGGTCCGCCCTGCTGCCTCCCAGAGACGAGCCTGGGAACAGGAGGCCCACGCTGGGCAGCTTAGGGGGAGCTTGTGGCAGGGCGCTGCAGGGGGCGCGGGGCCTGAGAAGCAGGAGGACACAGCCGGGCTCAGCCAGGGCTCGGAGGAGGGCCTGGGGTGCAGACGGAGGTGCAGGGGAGGGAGGTGCTCGGCACTCCGGGCCGGGCCGGGCCGGCGCTGGGCACTACCCCACGCTCGAGACGCAGCCGCCTCTGCGCACTGACCCCTTGAGGCCACGGTGGGCACTTGAGTGGCCACCGCTACCCCAGCGGGTGCCCCTGGGGCTCGGGGCGGGGGAGGCGGGGCGGACTGGGCACCTGTCCCACCGAGGCCCCCGACCCCGCTGCCCGCAGGTTCCAGGAGGCCCTGTCCGACTTCCGGCTGGCCCTGGCCCGGCTGCGGGGCAACACCGCCATCGACTACACGCAGCTGGGCCTGCGCTTCCGGCTGCAGGCCTGGGAGGTGGGCAGGGGTGCCCGGGGTGCCGTCCAGGGTTGGGTGGCCCGAGCAGCCCTTGAGGTCCCTTGGTTCCTGCAGACCCCTCCTCCGGGTCCCGCTGTCTGTCACTGTCACAGGCTCTGTGGACAGAACCGCCCTCTGGCCAGGGTGCCCCCCAGTCCTGCCGGGCACCCCCCCCCGCCCAGAGGCCTGGGGCCTGGGGCCTGGGGGAGGAGGGGGCACCAGGAGCACTTCCAGCCAGCGCTGCGGTGGGGGGAGTAGGCAGCCTGGCTGAGGGACGGTGCAGGCGCCGCGGGAGGGGCACCAGGCAGACCCCCAAATGCTTCCGGGGACCCAGAAACACGCTGCCGCGCGCCCTGTGGGACCCGTGGAGGAAGGCCCGACTGGGGCAGCCCCACAGGCCGCAGGGACGGGGGCCCCGGTGTTGGGAGGTCCCCGCTGTCCCCCAGCAGGTCCCTGTGGCCGGCGGCCCCAGTCCCGTCCGGTGCGTCCAATGTCCTCTCACCTGGAGGCGGGCACAGGACAGAGAGACGTGGCACCCGGACCGGGAGGGGCGCAGTGCAGGGAGGGCGGGGCCCCGGGGGCGGGGGGCGGGCCAAGCGAGGGGCCGTGGGGGGCGCCCTGGGGAGTGGCCCCCCGCAGCCAGGCAGGCTCCGCACGGCTGGGCACCCAGAGGAGCCCTGGCAGCTGCGGCTGGGAGCACGGCAGCTGCACCCGGAAGGGGGGGCCCAGGGGTGGGACCAGGGAGGTCCTGGCCGCCGCCTCGCCTTTCGCCTGGCTCCCAGGTGCTCTTCAACGTGGCGGCAGCGCAGTGCCGGCTGGGGCTCTGGGCCGAGGCCGCCCGCAGCCTGGAAGAAGCCATCTCCCGGGAGGGGGCCCGCAGCGACCTGAGTGCGGCCCTGGCCCACGTGCAGGTGAGGGGCGCAGGTGAGGGGCGCGTGCGGAGAGCCCCGCCCCGCCCCCGCCCCCACCCTCATCCCCGGCTCCTGAGCTGGCCCAGAGCGGCGGGCAGGGCCCGGCACCTGCGTAGGTACAGACCCCACGGGACCACCTACGTGAGGTGAAGGAGCTTCCGGGGGAGGTGGCCCGTGTGCCCAGGTGTGGAGACTGTGTCCCTGTCCCATAAGGGGGTGGCAGGGGCCCAGGCGACCCCCCTGCTCCAGAGCTCAGGGGCCCCGGCCGGTGCGGTCTGGCCAGATGCGGGGCCGGCATGTGCCGGGCCTCCCTCCAGGGACAGGGTCCCCTGCGGCCTCGGAGCGTCCCCAGGGGCGAGGTCTTCCGGCCCCCCAGGCGGCACCTGGAGCAGCTGCGGCCCGTGGACTTCCTGGGCAAGGCCAAGGTGACGGGGCAGCTGCTCGCTTCTCGGGCCCTGGGCGCCCGGGGGCCAGAGCGCCCGGCCGGCTGCAGAGGGGCAGGCAGCCAGGCCCGTGCTGAGCTCTCGGGGACACGTGGGGTCTGGTGCGTGTCCCGGCAAAGGCCCTGGTGGGGGGAGAGTGGGCGCAGGGTTGGGGCTCACCGACCGGGGACCCACGGCCCCGGGGCAGAGGCGGCAGCCAGGGCTCTCCCGGCCTGAGCGCCTCCCTTCGCACGTGGGCGGGGGCGGCCGTGCTAGGCGGGCCTGGCTGCATTGTGCCCACCTGAGCCAGGCTGGCAGCGCCGCCATCACAGGACACTGGGGAGCAGCTTGTCCCCAAGGGCAGGGCACAGGCGGGCAGGCGAGTCCGTTTGCTCAAAGGAAAAGTCACTTAGGTTTTGAGCAAGCGGCCTGGGGCCCGCCGGCCACGCCGAGGTCACCGAGGGCCAGCGCGCTGTGTGCCGCCCCCGCTGAGAGCAGGCGTCATGAGCACCACGGGCCTTCGCCGAGCCCCCTGGTGGAGGCCGGCGAGCTGGGTGGGGGGAGGGCTGTGGGTGGCATCAACGTATCGAATGAGAGTCTACTTTTCACAGTGGACGACTAAGCAGCAAAAATATTTTAAAATTTGTACTATGAAAACAAGTTAAAGCGACGAGTGCAGACGTGTCCCCCTGCCCGGCGTGTCCTCCCCCCGGGCTGGCCCTCGCGTGGCCTGGCGGCCGTGGGATGGGAGGCCCGGGGTGCGGGCAGGCACCCAAGGCTGGGGAACAGGCACCGCGGGGCCCGTGGGTGTGGCCGGGCTCCCCTGACCCGGCCGTCCCTCTGCTGTCCCTCACCAGGTGGTGGTGGCCTCTGGCATCAGACCTCAGCAGCCCCAGGTGGGTGGACGCTGCCCCTTGGTCTGGCCTCCTCGCCCGGTGTCTTGCGGGTCAGAGCACCGAGCCGCGCCCACGGAGGTGGGGAGATGCTGGGCCCGCTCCGAGCCTGCCCTGGGCTCCCCAACGGTCCTCTGATTGGGGACTGCGGCGGCCGCCCGTCCCGTGGGCCAGACTGTGAACACTGCGCAGTCGTGCCTGGGGGGCACCGCCAGCCCCCTGCCCCTGGCCCTGCCCCCTGGGGTCGGGGCGTGAGCGGGACATCACCCTGTGCCCACAGGCTCCGGACGAGGGTGCTGGAGCCAGGCCCAGGGCGGCTCCAGGTAGGAAGCGGCGCTTCCGCTCCACACGCGTGCCCCTCCCGTCGCGGCTGCGGGGTGGGACCGTCGCGCCCCCTTGCAGGTTGGAACCGGCCAAAGCCCTGGGTGCCGGGGGCGCCCAGCCTCCCCGCTCTTCCCCTGGCCCCACCTGTCCAGAGGCCCAGGGCGCCTTCGGTCCTGAGCCCGTCCTGCTCGCCTCGGCCACTGCTTAGGCCTCGGTGGGCTCCGGGCACGGAGGGACGGAGCGAGGCGCCCGGGCAGGGGGCTGGCTGGGCCGTGGTCTGCCCCGAGCGGCCGCCCCACAGCCACACCCGGGCCCTGGAGGGGTCGCTGCGACGGGCGGAGTTCGCGGTCGCCCAGACTGCGGGGGCAGGCCCCTCACCGCCCCCACCTCCGCGCTCAGGGCTCCCCGAGGCCCATCGTTGGCAGAGCCCTCGACCGAGGGGCAGCTGGGTGGGCTGAGCCAGGGAGAAGCGATCCCTGAGAATGGGGCGCCCTCCCCCCAGGGCCCATGACACCGGCCCCTGTGGAGCCGGCACCCCCGTCGGCCCTGGAAGCGCCCCCTGACGCAGCCATGGAGGTGGGACCTGGCCCCCGCGCGTCGCCCCCTGATGGTGAGCCGCTGAGTGAGCAGGCCCGGGGTGAGGGGCTGGGGCCACGGTACCGGGAGAACTGCCCGCCCCAGGCTGAGCGCGGGGACCGGTGGCCTCAGCCTGGCACCACAGGGTCCCAGGCAGGGCAGGCGGCCCCCTCGCCCTGGGAGACAGATCCCTGGCGTCCCCCAGGCCCGGGCCGCGGGGGACGAACTGCTGCTGTCCAGGGCCCTGGCCTGCAGCCCCGCACGGCCCCACTGCGGGCCTCCCCCACCCCTGCCTCCCGCCCTGGACACGGGGCGCCCTGGGCGCCGCGGTGAGGCCAGAGGGGCACAGGCTTCACTTCCTGCCGCGCACGGAGGAGACGGTTCAGTTCCACATTCAGTTTATCGAGGGTCTGGCAGAAATGGGAGTCACTGGCCCCCTCATGTCCCTACCTGCCCCCGCCGCCCCCTTGCAGAGACCCCGCACGGAGCAGGGCGGCCATCAGGCTCCTGAAGGGTAGGGCGCCTGTCCGGCCTGCCGGGTGGGAGGGCTCTGTGGAGGGGCAGGCCCGGGGGCTGCTGGGAGCGGCCTCTGTGACCCCAGGAGGGCGCCCGCCGCCTCGCGCCTCCCTGGGTGCGGGTGGTTCTGGTGGCTCCTCCAAAATGTTCCCCTTCGGGGGCGAGGGCCAGCGGAACCTCTGCTCTGTCCCCTCTGGCAGGGCAGCTGGCGGCCAGGGGGCCAGACCCTGGACCCTCTGAGGACCCCGTGGATGCTGGGGTAAGAGGTCCCTACTCCCCAGGAATGTGGGGGCCTCAGGACCAGGCCCCGTCCCTCTGCGTGGCTCCAGGGACCCCAGCCAAGGAAGCCCAGCCCCTGCCCCTCCCACCCTCTCAGTCCCTGGCCTCACCCCCGGCCCAAAGCGCCCCCACCTCCCGCCCTGGCCACGAAGAGGTGGGGCTTCAGAGACCCCCCCCGCCCGGCCCCAGGGAGTGGCCGTGGGCGACCCCACGTGCCCGGCGGCCGTCACGGTGCACTGCGCCTTCACCCTGGCCCTGGAGGCCCCGAGAGGAGCCGGCCTGTCCAGCCTGAGGGACCTGCTGAGCCAGGCCCTCCCCGCCCAGGCCTGGTGCGGGCAGCTCAGGTGGGCGCCTCTCAGCCCCGGGTGGCGAGGGCGGCGGGGCTGGACTCGGCGGCGGCTGCGGGCGGCGGGGGTCCTCGGTCCCCACAGCCCCGGCCCGCGCTGACGAGTCTCTCTGCAGCTACCGAGAGCCCGGCGACACCGGGCGCTGGGTGCCCCTGGCTGAGGAGGCGGCGCTGCAGAGGGCCTGGCGGGGGGCGGCCTCCGGCCCCGCGGGGCTGCAGCTCCGGTGCCGGGTGAGCTGGGGAGCGGGGCCTGGGCCTGGCGGGGGCCCCGGGGGGCCCAGGCCCTCGGGAGCCGGCGGCCCTGCAGCGCCCCCTTCTGCCGCAGGCCGTGGGCGGCCGGCCCGTCCGCGCTCAGGCGGTGGCCCAGCTCGGCGACGCGGCCCGGCGGCCTGAGGACTCGGACCCGCCGCCGGGGGACACCGTGGACGTCCTGGGTGAAGGGCGGCTGGCAGCGTCCTCTCCCCGTCACCTGCTGGGCCGCTGGGGCCCGCGGGCTCTGTGAGCGGACGCGGCGCCACGCCCGGTCCCTTGCAGTGGACCGGGCGTGGCCGGAGGGCCCCTGTGACGGCCGCGTCGGCATCTTCCCCGAGTGCCTCGTGGGCCCGGCCGGGCGGCGCGTGTGAGGAGCCCCGGCAGCTGCAGCGGCGTCAGCCCTGAGGGGCCCCGGGCAGCGGGGGGGTTTGAATAAAAGCAGCCACCTGTCCAGCGAGGCGTGGGCAGACGCGTTCCGGGCTTGGCCGCTGCCAGACCCGACCGAGGTGGCAGGGGGGGGCCGCTCCGGAGAAGCCCCTTGTCCCTTAGGCCAGGTGACACCGGGGCTCCTGGCGGGCCCCCCCGGCCTCCTCCTGAGGACCCGGGCCCCTGCCTGCCGCTCCCCGGGAGCCAGGCCCCCCTTAGCCCCAGCCGTCTCGCCCTGCCCCGGGCTTGGCCTGGCGGGACGGAGGCCGCCGACGGGGAGGCTCGGACGGGACTGCGGCACCGCTCCCTTGGCCGGAGCAACTCGAGGTCAGAGCCCACAGGACAAGCCCCTGGGAGGCTGCACGGGCCAGGGCCTTGGGGAGGCCCCAGCCGGAGCAGGCGTCCGGGCTGGCGGCCCGGCCAGGTCGGGCCTCCCCCCTGCCAGGAGGCGGCCTGCTCAGTCCCGGGGCCGGAGCAGTCGGGCCACAGCGGCAGCCAGGGCGGCCCCGAGGGTCAGCACCACGCAGGCGACGCTGGCCGCCCAGATGCCGCAGCTCTGTGCCCGCCACTGGGGCGGCGCCTCGGCCGGGATCATGTTGGTCAGGTTCAGCATGTAGCCCAGCGTCCAGCCGATGTCGGTGCCGCCGGCCTGGGGGACACGCGGGTGGTCAGGGTTGCGGCTGGCCGCCCCCGACCTCCCGACCAGCCCCTCCTGGGCCTGGGAGGGAGCCACCTGCTTGCGAAACTTGATGCTGGGCCAGGTCTCCTCGCTGAAGCCGTAGCCGTCCAGCAGGAGCGTGAGGATGTACAGGCCCGAGGCGCAGTGGTCACGCAGCCAGCGGTCCTCCCCGGCCGCATCGGCCTCCACCTGGGCCGGCAGGGGGAGGAGCCAGGTGAGGCCACACCTCCTGGGCTTCCAGGGTGGGTCCCACCTGAGGCCAAGGGGCTGTCCTCCCTTCCACAGCTCCCCCAAACCCAGTGGCCACACCGCCCCGGGTGGGGTCCCCGAGTCCCCGCTCGGTGAAGCTGCGGGGCGGCCTGCCCCGGGGCCCACCCACCAGCTTCCAGGGCTTCTGGCAGAACTCCCAGATGGAGGCGTTGACGGCGGCCAGCGGCTGCCCGGAGGTGAGGTTCAGGAACCGGAAGGTGTAGTAGAAGCTGGAGAAGGCCTGCGGGGGCGCGGACAGCGCGTCTGTGCTGGGGCCGCGCCCTGCCCCACACCAGGCGCAGAGTCCCCAGGAGCCCAGGGGGCCCGGGCCCCTGTCCCGCTGCCCAGGGCTCCGCCTGGGCCGCCCCCGGCACCAGGCCCCTAGTGCTCACGTAGAACTGGCCCCGCACGGGGGGCTGGTAGACCCCATCGAAGGCACAGTCGTCTCGGCCCTCGCAGCTGGAGAAGTTGAAGAGCTCCCGGATGGCTGAGACGCAGGCCCCAGGGTTCCCTGTCCCGTCCACGGTCAGGGTCGGGGGCAGGTGTGGGGGGGCTGTGCCCCGCACACAGGGCGACTCGAACAGCTGGGCCAGCGACAGCTTGTCCTGGTAGCCGCCGTGGTAGCAGGGGTGGTGGAGGACCCGGCGGGCGGGGCTGCTCTGCAAGGAGGGTGGGCGGCGGCCCTGAGCACCTGCCCGGGGCGCCACCCGCCGGGTCTCTGCCCCCGGGAGAGCCCACCTGCACCAGCCTGGCCAGGAGCCTGTTCAGCATCTCGTTGCGCCCGAAGCAGAGGTAGCTGTGGGTGTAGAGGCTGTGCTCAAAGCCGTAGAGGCGGACGGTGGCCTGCGTGCTCTTGTCCAGGACGGGGCCTCCGGGCACGAAGGTGATCTGGGTGGAGGCCCCGCCCATGTCCAGGGCGCCCACCAGCGTCCCCTCCGGAGGCCGGACCCACTCGCCTGAGAAGGAGTACTGGGCACAGACAGGCCTTGGTTCCGGGACCAGCCAGGCCGGCCCAGCCCCGCTCGCCCGGCCCCCGCCCCGGGCCTGCCCGCGGCACCTGGACCAGCAAGCCCAGGACATAGTTAACGGTGATCCAGCTGAAGGCACCTTCATCCTGACCAGGCAGGAGCTCAGCACCCCGGAAATCCACGGGGGCCCGGCCCAGGACCCGGGAGACCGCGGCGAAGACCCCCGCCGCCTGAGAGCTGTTCTTCCAGCTGCGCAGGGAGGAACGGCGGAGGCTGGTGGGAGGCCTGCCGCCGGCGCGCCCGCCCGCCTGCCCTGGGGGAGCGCCAGCTCTCACCTGAGCAGCCGCATGCCGGCCGTGGCCCCCAGGAAGGTGGGCGTGTGCTGGCGCTGGGCTGCTGGGACCACGGCCAGCGCCTCCTCCAGGCAGCCCTGCAGGCTCTCTCCAGCCTGGGCGGGGTCGGAGGCGTAGGAGGAGATGCCAGGCCCTGAAACACAGCACCCCAGGATGCGGCTCCCGGCCCGGAAGCCTGGCTGGGCTGAAAGGGCCTGTGGGGGTTGGATAGTGGTCCCCAAAAGGTGTGTCACGTTGCCTCACCCCCTCCAGAACCTTCCAACGTGACCTTATTTGGAAAAAGGGCCTTTGCAGATATAATTCAGGACCTCAAGGTGAGGTCCTCCCGGATTCCCTTGCGGGACCCACCCACGTGCCGTGACAGGGTCCTCATGAGAGAAGGGAGATGGGACGGAGACCCAGGGAGGAAGCCACACCAGGGCGGGGGCGGGGGGGCCAGAGGGTGTGACCGCGGGCATGGGGGCCCCGGGGGCCCCGCGGCTGGAGGAGGCAGGCGGGGCCGGCACCGCGCTGACCGGCTGTGCTGCCGGGGGCGGCTCGCTCGCCTCTCGGAGCCCTTCCCGTGGGGGCGGCTCGCCGAGGGGCGGGCACCGGCCTGCGCCGCCCCCTAGCCCTCTGCCCGGCCGGGAGGCCCAGCAGCCGCGGCTCCCCACACTGCCCCCTTCGACAGGTGGGCCCCCTGACCTTCCACGTTGCAGGCCAGGGCCTGGCTGACCACACCCGTGTCGTTCTCCTTGTCCGCCGGCCACCGATACACGAAGACAGATGTGTGGGAGGACCCCGCATCGAACACAATCCCGAACTGGGAGGGACAGCGGTGTCAGGGGGCGCGGGGCCGGCCAGCCCCGCCCCGGCTGAGGGTCGGGGAGCAGACCTTGGTGGCCGCGGGCAGCAAGACGCTGGTGGCCTCCACCAGGACGAGGACGAGCGCGGTGAGGGCCGAGGCCGCGGTGACCCCCAGCAGGGCCGTGAGGACCCACTCCTTGCAGGTCAGCTTCATGGTGGGCACAGGGCCGGGCCTGGGGGGGCGAGGCAGCAAGGCAGCGTGGGCAGGCCCCTCCACACTGCCCTCCTGGGGTTCGCCCCGCCCCGCCCCGCCGGGTCCTGGGGCAGGGCCAAAGGCCACGCCTGGAGGCCCGGGTGTGACAGGCATAGGAGGGGCCAAGGGCGTCCGGCACCAGGAGGCTGTGCCTGAGGGCGAGGCCGACCTGGCGCCCCGGGCGGACGCCTCCGGGCAGCCCCTTCTGACGCCACCGTGAGGGCTGGGGAAGCTGCCTGCCCACCCACCCCCTGCTGCTGCCTGGGCAGCCGCTCCCCCGTCCCGGAGCCCTGAACCCACCCCGGCGTCTCCCCCCGGGAATGGAGCCCCAGCTCTGCAGGCGAGCTCTGGATGGCACTGGGAGACCCGGGACCCCAGCTCCTGCCCACCTGCCTCCTGTCTGCGCCCCCCACCCGGCGCTCCCCCGGAGAGGTTTTCTCTCTGGGGGCTCTGAGGTCAGGCCTGAACCTGTGGGCACAAGGGACCTCCTGTCACCCAGTAAACAAGATCAGTGGGGTCGCGGGAAGCACATCTGCTCACGAAAGGACCTTGAGGCAGACTACACAGGCGCCTGGTTTCTACTCGAGAACCCAGCCTCCGGTTTCCCCGAGCCGAGGCTCTCTGGCCGGCCCGGGAGAGCCCCTGCCGCCGGCTGCGGCTGACCCGGCACGCAGGGCCGCGCGGGCGGCCGCGCGGGGTCGCCGGAGTCTCGGCCCGCGCCCCGCCGCCCCGGGGAACCCGATCTCCGGCTGGCAGCACTTCGGCATCACGGGATTTCGTATCACATCGCCTATTCCCGAGCCCCTGCACCTCATCCAAACCGAGAGACATGCCAGGAGGAGGCTGCCTCTCTCCGGGCTTCTGGCCACATCGGGGCTGCCCCCGGCCATGTGGCTCTGATCCCATTTTAAGGAGGGAAGACGGGGCCTCGGAAGGCAGGTGACCTGTTTGAGCTACAGTCAGGCCAGGACGAGATGGAACAAGCCTGTGCTATCAACCAGCACCCGATGACGATGTTCTGGCCCACGCCGGACCACCTATCCCTGAGGTGAGAGGCCTCACAGAGACAAAGAGGCAGGTGAAGGCGGGGGCCGGGGACACCAGGACCCGTGACACCCCACTGCCAGGGGATGCAGCACCTGAGCCCCCCAGGTGAGCAAAGAGAATGGGAAGACTCTCTGCCGTCAGGACAGACCACGACAGGCCCCCCCCAGACCTGGACGGCCCCCTCACCGGGGCGAGCGGACGGCCGGCGGCAGCGCGGAGGAGGTTGGACCGCGGTCCTCAGGCGCTGGCCAGGTGTGTCCTCCCGGCCTCTCCCTCCCTGCCCGCCTCGTTACTCACCAGGCGGGTCTGGGTCTGCAGCCAGGCAGGTGATGGAGCCTGCAAGCGGGGGCGCTGCCGGCCAGACCCCCTGCCGGCTCACCGACGGACGACCGAGGCTTCGTGGGGTTGAACTCAGGCCCCTGCCCAGGGTCATGCCCTCGCTGCTCAGGGACCCCCAAGCCCCTGCCGCCCCGGCTGCCCCTCCACTGGCTGCCCAGGAACCACCTCTCCTTCTTGTTCTGCTCTGGGGCCCGAGAGCTGGGGCCCGCCTGTCCTTGGCGGGTGCTCGACTTTGCCCTCCGACTCTCCCCTCCCCTCCCCGAGCTGGAGGGTGAGCGCCAGGGCTCAGGCTACAGACAGGTCAGAGTCAGGTGACTCGAAGAGGTGGGAGGCCCAGGCTCAGCCAGAGCAAAGGCCAGAGGCTGCCCAGCCTGTCGTGCAGCCTGTTGTCAGGACGCGGGAGCGGCAGCCTCGGCTCCGGGCTGCGGGCGCTGGGCACACCGTGGACCCCAGCCTGGCCGCCCCTTTGCACAGCCTGGCGCCATGCCCCCGGCCGCCCCACCCCACGTACCGGCTCCCTCTCAACAGTCTGTCTTCGGGACACCGTCCCAAGGATGGACGGAGCCTGGCTTCTTCCCCTCAGCGCGAGGCCGAGTCCAGTTGCACAGCTCGGCCTCCCCTGCCTGAGGCATTTCTGGGCTTTGCAGGCTGTGGCCCTGAAGAGGTGGGGACATTCAGGCACAGGTATCCGCTGGACGGACCCAGGAGGCAGGCCGCTGGGCCGGTGGGTCAGGCAGGGGAGATCTTACTTTTAACGGGATGTGAAACCGCCCCCCCGGTTTTCCGCAGGGAGAGAGCCGGGCTCCCTGCCTCCCTCAGCACTTGGCGACACAGTGTTTGATTCTAGCCCATCTGATGGGGCGGGGACATCCTTCTGCGGCCTAATTTGCATACATGCACCCTCTCTGGTCCAGGGTCGCACCTTTTGCCCATTTTTACTCTGACTTGTCTGATTTCTTCCCACTGAGCTGAGAGAATTCTTTATAGATTCGAGATCGAGTTCTCGTTTCCGCACCACTTCCTTTGTGTTTATATGGCGTTTTGTCCGTGTTGCTGTTTAGAGTAAATAAACTGTTTATAAAGAAAAAAAAAAAAAAAGAGATCGAGTTCTTTGTCCTTTACGCGGTTTGCACATGCTTCCTCCAGGCCGCAGCTTGTCTTCTCCTTGTCTTGCCAGTGTCCTTCACAGGGCCAAGTCTTCCATTTTTGATCAAGTCCCGTTGATCGGCCTGTGAGTCATGGATGGCGCTTTTCATGTCCACGCTGGGAACTCTGCACCTAACCCTGGTCACGAGGCTTTCCTTCTCCTGAAGCGTCAGAGTTTCCCGCGTGCACTCCCAGGCTCTGGGCTCCGTCCCCAGCGGCTCCTTGCGCGGTCGTGCGCTGCAGGACGATGTTCTGGCCGGCGCCGGGCCACCCGTCCCTGGCGGTACCAGGCCATAAAGGGGCCGGAGGACTCCTGCCACCCAGGGGTGTCATGGCCGTGGCAACGTCGCAGCTCAACGCCCGACTCAGGTGCTTGAGGCCGACGTAGGCTGTTCGCCCACACAGAGAGGCCTCTGGCGTGAGGGGCAAAAGCATTCACCTGAGATCAGCAGGAGCCGCGGCTCAGGAAGCGCCGGCTCTGGCAGAGGCCCGGACAGGGCTGGGGCGAGGAGACCGCGGCGGCGGGCGTGTCTCAAAAGGGGCGGGAACAAGCGCGCAGGAAGGTGTGGCTGTTGGTGAAGACACTCTAAACAGTGTTTTTAATGTCAGTCCAGATGTCACAGTGTCTTGTTACTGTCATCTTCGCAGTGACTTGGGACACAATGTTGCCTCAGGCCCCGGCAGCTCCTCCAGGACGGCTCCGTCTACGTATTTTTGACAAAGCAAACCCGTGCTGCCTGCCGCCCCAGAGAAAACAGTACCATGTCGTGCAGACCCGGGGGTCACGGACGACCACTGGTTCCCGCATTTACGCTGCACGTTTCTGCTGCTGCTGTAGGATGTGCGCTGTCCACCTCTTACAAAACGTCTGCTGCAGAGCAGCACGCCCTGCTGCGCCGGCCGCGGCCTCACCGCCTCACGCTGACTGTGTCTCTACCACGCCACTTTGTCTCGTGCGCGATTTAGTCTCGGGTCGCCTCGTTCCCCGTGGACCCCAGGCATCCGCACAATGACGCAGTCACCCAGCGGCGCCCCCTGTGGGCGCGTGGCTGCACAAGGAGCGGGGCCTCGGCGGAGGCTCCGCGCTTTGCACGCGGTCGCCACTGCTTGGAAACGCCGCCCTTCCTCTAGGGACCTGTTTCCGTCTTTGCATGAATGGCCGCATTTGTGTGGGTCTGTTTCCGACCCGCTATTGTGACCGTCTCATCCCCAATTGTCTTGATTACTGCAGCCAGCTAACAAGCCTTAATATTCTGCTGTGTGAGTCCTCCAACTTTGTTCTTCTTTCTCAGCATTGTTTTAACTATTTCAATTCCTCTGTCTGTATATATAAAATACACTCCTGAAATTTTGATTGGTGTTATGTTAAATCTGTGATCATTTTATGGGGCAGCGGTATCTTTACAATTTTGAGTTTTCCAACCCATAAACACAATTTATATAGGATTTAGGTCTTTACAATTTTTTTTCACCAGCACTTTCAGGATTTCAGAATGAGATCTAGTACATAAAAAAAAAAAAAGACTTTATTTATTTTTAGAGAGGGGAAGGGAGAGAGGGAGGGAAACATCAATGTGTCTCGTGCGCCCCCTGCCGGGGACCTGGCCTGCACCCCAGGCCCGTGCCCTGCCTGGGAATTGAACTGGTGACCCTGTGGTTCACAGGCTGGTGCTCAATCCGCCGAGCCGCACCAGCCAGGGCTTTAAAAAAAAAAAATTATTTTGAGACTTCAGTCAAGATGGAGGTGTGCTTTGCCTCCTTACAAACAACTACAGCAAAAATTAAAACTAGACTGCAAAACAAGTATCACCCAGATTTGTCAGAAAATTGAGCTGTATGGAATTTCAACAACTAAGGGTTTAAAGAATCCACATTCATCCAGGCAGGTAGGGGCTGGAGACATGGAGACGCGCAGACAGGAGCGGACAGGCGCAGAGAGGCACGGAGATGCGGGACAGCCGTCCTGCACCCACGGGCGGTGGGTGGAAATCGGAAGGGAGTCCTAGGGAGCAGGGGATCCCAGCCTCACACCAAACGGCCCCGCCCAGGGCTCCAGCGCCAGAAAAGTCAGTCCCCATAACCCCTGGCTGTACAAACAGCAGGGGGTGGGGCAGTGGAAGAAACGGCAGGATTCTCAGGAGACTCCTCTTAAAGGGCCTGCAACAGACTTAGGGCTCCTGCGGACCCGCCTCATCTGGGATTCAGTACCAGCGGGAAGGGCACCAGGGCATCCAGGGAGAAACTGAAGGGACTGGAAACAGGGCGAGGGCCAGGGGACAGCTTCCTCCTGGGCGAAGCTCCAGAGGCCCGGCAGCAGCACTGCCCGCTCGCTCTGCGAGCCTTCCCCACGCAGGGCGGTGCCGCGGGTGCCCCGCCCTGACATGGCCTGAGGCTCCGCCCCCACACAGCTCACAGGTGCCTTTTCTGTGATAGGCCACTCTTCTAAGACAAAGCAGCTCTACCTAATACACAGGAACACACACAGGGAGGCTGCGAAAACGAGGAGACAAAAGAAACACGGCCCAAACGAGAGGACAGAGCAAAACCCCAGAAAAAGAGCTGAACGAACTGGAGATAAGCAACCTATCAGATGCAGACGTCAAACAGTGGTGATCAGGATGCTCAAGGAGCTCACCGAGTAGGGCCACAGCATAAAAAAGACCCAGGCAGAAATGAAGGTTACAGTAACTAAAATAAACAAAAATTTACAGGGAACTTACAGTGGAGGGGATGAAGCCGATAATCAAATCAACAATTTGGAACATGAGGAAGAAAAAAACATTCAATTGGAACAGCAAGAAGAGAAAATAATTTTTAAAAATGAGGGGAGGCTAAGGAGGCTCTGGGACACCTTCCAACGTATCAACATCCAAATCAGAGGTGTGCCAGGAGGAGAAGAGGAAGAGCAAGAAATTTAAAAGTTATTTGAAAAAATAATGAAAAAAACCATCCCTAATTTGGCAAAGGAAATAGACATGTAAGACCAGGAAGCACAGAGAGTCTCAAACAAGTCGGACCCGCCCACACCAACATACGTCATAACTGAAATGCCAAAGGTTAAAGATAAAGAGTCTAAAAATAGCAAGAGAAAAGCATAAAGTTATCTACAAAGTATCAGCTGATTTCTCAAAAGAAACTTTGCTGGCTAGAAGGGATTGGCAAGAAGTAATGAAAATGATAAAAAGCAAGGATCTACAACCAAGATCACTCTACCCAGCAAAGCTCTCATTTAGAATGGAAGGGCGGCAAAGAACTTCCCAGATAAGGTAAAGCTAAAGGGGTTCATCATCAGCAAGCCTTTACTATATGAACTGTTAAAGGGACTTATTTAAGAAAAAGAAAATCAAAACTATGAACATTAAAATGGCAATAAATTCACAACTATCAACAGCGGAACCTAAAAAGCAAACTAGAGCAGGAACAGAATCACAGGAATGGAGCGCGCAGGGAAGGGTATCAGCTGGGAGGGGCAGGGGGAGCGTGGGGGAACGGGGTACGGACAGACGCGTAACCGGCAGGTAGAGAATAGGCAGGGGCGGTTCAGAACAGAATAGGACAAGGAGAAGCCGAAGGACTTGCATGCATGACCCACGGACCTGAACCAAACGGGGTGGGGGGCTGCAGGAGGGAGGGGGTGACCGGGAGGAGGGCGGGGAAGGAGGGAAGATCGGGACGACTAGAATAACATAATAAAATACCCTGTACAGATTTTAATTTATTTAAACTAAAAAACCCAAGAGCACCCATTGCCCTCACTTCCACACCCATCTCTCGCGACAACCAATCTGTTCTCCGGATCAGTTAGCTCTGCTCTCTTTGCTTGCACACGTAAGAGACCCCACAGTGTCTGTCTCAGCGTGACGTCCTCGAGACCCGCCCCCGCGTGCACACGGCAAGGCTCCCTTCTTCTTTGCGGCTGAGTGACAGTTCCGTTGTGGGT